CGTCGTCTGGGGGGGTGCCCAGGAGCTCGGTGATGATGGAGAACTGGTTGACGTGGTCCTTGCCGGGGAAGAGGGGTTTACCCTCCAGCATCTCAGCAAAGATGCAGCCAGCGCTCCAGATGTCGACCTCGACGTCGTACTTTTGCCATGTGAGCATGATCTCGGGGGCTCTGTAGTAGCGTGTTGAGACGTAGCCGGTCATCTGGGGGTCCTGGATGCGGGCCAGGCCGAAGTCGCAAATCTTCAGGTCGCAGTTCTCGTTCACCAGAATGTTGCTGGGCTTGAGATCTCGGTGCACAACACCGGCGGAGTGGACATATTTCAGTCCACGCTAGATGTGAGAATCTGTTAGCATGTGAGGCACGCCCCCATTCGGCTTTCCTTTGCAGCCATTGGAACGTACCATGATCTGGTAGAGGAAGTACTGGATGAACTGCTTCTCTAGTGGCCGCGAGGTGAGCAGCCGGTGCAAATCTGTGCCGAGAAGTTCCGTGACAAAGTAGCTGCGCAACACGTGTTAGAAGCAAAAGAATGTCGAAAAGAGAGGAGCGAGAGGCGGCCCAAAGAACGTACATGTCCTCAAGAGGAGAGATAAAAATGTCGGAGAGAGAGATGACGTTCTCATGCCGTAAGTGTTTGAGCAGCTTGAGCTCACGGTAGGTCCGCTTGGCGAGGACGGGCGTACTGAACGGCTTCATGATCTTCTTGATGGCGACATTTTGGTTTGTGAGTTGATCGCGGGCAGAGCTGTAGAGGGGTCGTACAAGTTAGCAACTTGCTCAAAAGGCGTTCAGGCCGGCGTTGACAGTTTGCCGGCAAAAACGAAGGGCAAAAGAAAAGAAAACATACCAAACGAGGCCGAAAGCGCCCATGCCAACAGGTTGGAGATCGGAGTATCTAAAAAGGAGAGACGAGAGCGTACAGTTAGCTACTGTAAGGAACACAAAAAAAAGCCAAGGACGTCCGCACCGAGCGCAGAGCATGGACCACGGGAAGCACATCGCAAAGAAGAAGGACGGCGGGAGCGGGAGTGCGGGGGTGCAATTCTTTACCTAGACGTGATCTCAAACGTCGTTCCAAAAATCTGGGTGCGAATGAACTCGGCCATGATGTGGGTTTGCTGTCGCGGGGGAATGACGACGATAAAAAACGAGTTCTCAAGAGCAGGGAGAAAGTCAATGAGTCGAGGAGCTTTCTCGGGCGGGGCTCAGTTGTGAAGAGGAAGGTCGGTTACGCTCGACAGCAAAGTAGCGAATGTCAATGGAGAGACAAGGGAATGGAGTGGAGTAGAAGCGAAAGCGAGAAGACAAGAGTTGAATTCTAGGGAGAGGAAAGAAAGAGAGGATGAAGAAGGAAGAAACCCGATGTTGAGTCCGTCAGAAAGCCAGAAAGGACGACTAGGTTCAAGCCAGTAAACACGCGGTGCAGGGCCGTGACAATGGTTTGGTTTCTTGGGCTGAGCCGGCCTGAGGTCACAGTTGCTTCTGGGGATGTTGCTGAGAACGGACTGTCTCAGGTCTCTATTGGGAGGACGAGTTTGTGGGGTTGGTGTTTTGAAGGCGTGTCGTTACAGCCGGGTGGTCAAATAGTTGTATGGCCAGCTGGGGCAGTTGTATCGTGCGCGGGGTCGAAGGCAGATGCTCCTTGTTCGCTTTGTGGAGAGCAAAGGGAAGCTGTGCAAAAGATGCGAATAAGGTACAAGAGGGAGCGAAAAGAGGGATGTCGGCTTTGGAGATCGACAATTAGGGAGATGCGTTCTTCTCGGCTCGATTTTGGCCTTTTCTGTTTCGGAAGTTGCGACGAAGAACGACGACTGGGCCGCTGACAGTGGGAAGGTGCGCAAATTGAGACCTAAAAGCAACTTTGCTCGACTGTGTCGCGCCTGCTGTTTCTGGTCGATATCTCGGCCTATGAGCTTAGCTTCGCCGATTCGTTTTATTTTTGACAATGTCGCCTGCGCTATTGCTTAGTGGCGCAACTGGAGGGGGGGGACGAGCGGTGAAAAAGGGGCGCCTGGGGCGATGGACAGCGAAGGCTCGGGCTTGGGAGAGGGATGCTGTTTGCTTGGACTTGTACAAATGCGATTGGACAATCTGAAGGGCAAGCGACGATGAGAGAACAACGAAAAGCGCTGATGGACGACGAAGCGATGTAAAAAGGGAGGGCGACGGCAGTTTTTAAACTAAATGAAGCAAATCCAGGAAAGGTAAAATAACGGAATTGCAGGGGAATTAACCGCCTTTTCTTCGGGTCGCTCTCTGTTTTTCTGCGTGCTTCCACGCCGTCGTGTCGTTGCGCCGGAAAGGGTTACAGGCTATAGTATAGTGATCGAGATCCAAAGCGACAATCAGCAACAAGGCCAATGTGTTGTCTGTCCCGCGTTTTCTCGATGCAAAGCGGACGGCGGTAGCAGGCCCTAAAACTGAGAAAGTGGGGCGGCTCTCCACTGTGGGTGAGGAGGGGTCCCTGGACTGCACCTCGCCCGAGGAAGAGAAAACGAGAGCTTCAGGGCCCACGGCAGGATACTAGTCAACGCCTGGCCTCGCTACAACATAGTTTTGCATGTTTGCTCATTTTACTCGGCCGGACAAAGCCTCACGATCTCGTGGTGTACGAAGTACTCTTCCACCAGGTCCGACTCAGGTCGAGCTTCTGGTCGGCTCTCATATATCGTGTAGGAGCCACCTTCTTCCTTTTTGGTTTTTGTGTCCCCTTTCCTAAATGTGTGGTGCATTATTGGCAAAGCTCTCGGAAAGTGCGAATTTTATGCTCCCTTAGCTACCTTTCCGCGATATAGTTGCTGCAAGCAAATATGCCGAGGGCGACCGTCGTCGCGGCGCCCACCTTTGGGCGGTCGCTAAGTGAAATTAAACGGATAGAAAATAGCTAATATCTATAGAAGGAAAGGAGCAGTGTCTCCGGTCAACCCCACCTGTCTCGCCTGTATTTTTGCCTTTGTAAAGCCATCACTGTCAGAGCCGTTTCTTAGTGCTCCAGTGCCTTAGTTTATTAGAAGCTTTTAATTCAGTATTCCTAAATATACTGCTAATAATGAACCAAACTTCATAAATACTAATATTACTAGGTTGAGATCTCTGCCGTTCAATCTTCCTTACCGTCAGAAACCTTTCTCGGCGCTTCTCACTGGTTTCTCTATCTTTTCAGCCAACCTGAACAGCAGAAAATTCCCTCCCTTGTCCAAATGACGTCAGTGATACTGATCCATCGTGAGCACAGACGGCAGCCGCCAAACTCTATTCGCTTGTGTTTCTTCTCTCCTGTTCCAGAGCCACTGGATCCCGTTCAACGCAACGCACCATCCCCTGGCAGTGCCACACCACGACACTTCCCTCGTTGGTATCGTCATGTTTCCCCCGCCCACCTCAAAGTGATGTTTCTGGACCGCCTTCGTGCATCCCGAAAACAAGCATGCATTGATGACGCCGACGTTTTTCTTTCGTTTCTTCAACACCACGAGGACTCTCGGGATCCAACCTCCCACACGGCATTGTCGCCGTATTATCGGATACGTTGGTGTTCGGCCAGGCCGTGTATTCTGTATAGTATGCACATATCGTTCGATCGTAGGAGACATGGAAGACAGCACACGATCTCGCTTCCCTGCAAACTAATGCCAGTCTGACAGGTGCTCCCGTATTTACCCACAAAAGTAGAAAATAAAAATAAGAAAATAAAAATAAATCAATCTGTGAAAGGCACGCGAAAGGGACCGCCCGGGGCACCCAGTCGCGTCATTGAGCACAACAGGGTCCCTGATTCCATGGTCCCCTGTTCTCGGCTACCTTTCAAAGACGGTTTAGACCCAACATTGTATGAGGATATGAGATAAGACGCAAACACCGTCGGATCGTTCCTTGTGGCGTCTTGTCGTGTGGCGCTTTCCGATCTTGTGGACAAACAGGAGCGACAATAGAGAGGAAGCGTAGGTCTGCCTCTGATGTTTCAAAGACATTGAAAGTGTGTATGATCTAGTTTCATTTCTAAAGAGTTTTGTTGGCTGACGCCATGAGCGCAGAGCTCAGTACTACACAACCGTACTTTCTGCGACTCAACAAATTTGATACGGCCATCTCTCTTGCTGCTCGCCCTTGCCGCGTAGAAAATGCGAAAATTTCACAAAGGTCCCGCTTTGTCCACTTTCTTCTTTCGTCTTCTGTGTTTTTTGTTTTTCTATTTTTTGAGATGCAATTCGTACTGCTCCCGTTCTGGCCACGAGCCACGCTCACAATCACACCCGCAGCAGAAACGGCTGGGTGGGGGAGTTACGTTACCTCACCGGCTCCAAACCATGCACAATGACATCATCGAGTCCGATTCCTACAGCGCTATTTCCGTCCAATGTCATGGAATGCCAACACAGCAAACACAAGCGCAGCGAGACCACCTCCAGGATGTATGGACACCGACAGCCACGATACCTATCCTCCTCTCATACAGAGTAATTTACGCAGCAACTTGAATAGGAATGGCCAAGCATGTCCAGGTCCTCAGCTCCTCCACCCCTCCTCCTCTCCCATGCAGGCAATCCCGCCCCCAAAAATGTGTGGCCCGTATTCCCGACAACGGTTTTCTTCTCGGTTGCTATTTTTTTTTTGTTATCTTTCGACCAAAACGCCTCTGTAGTCTTCTGTAACTGTGCATTTTGATCATGAGACCACGTCAAAGAACGCCACAAAGTGAAAGGCAGGACAGGGCTTTTGTACAAGAGAACGTCATGAATGAGATGAAAAGGTATGATATGGTGGGATTCGGCTCAATGTCACATAATGGACATTGCCGTTAGTACAGGCTATGAACTAGGAAGGAAGCACTTTAGTGATGAGCATTCGATCGTATGCAATAAACAAAAGGTACCAAAAACCGTAAGATTAAAACGAGAACGAAAAACAGGGCCCAATACGTTAAAAGAAAAGAAACGAAAACACAAATATAGCCAGTCCCTGTGTCTTGTGATCGTGCTGACGTAAAACACAACGAGCTTATAGCTCACCCTCGGCCACGCCACCGCTCGTCTCGGGCTGCAGAGGTTCGACATTCCAAATCGCCTCGGCGTACTCGTTGATACAACGATCGCTGCTGAAGAAACCCATGCGTGCCACGCTCGTGATGCACTTGGTGATCCAGAGCTCCTGGTCAGCATACGACTTGTCGACAAGCTCCTGGGTCTCCAGGTAGCTGTGGAAGTCATCCGAGACAAGGTAGAAATCGCCGTGCTCGCGAACGGCAGCGACCATGCCCGAAAAGTCCTGTGGGTTGCCAAAGGTGCCGCTCTGGATGGCCTGGAAGACCTTGTCGAGGCTAGGGTCGATTTTGTGGTCCTGGCCGTAGGTGTGGTGGTGGCGCAGATCATCAACGTCCTCGGCAAGGTTGCCGAACAGGAAGATGTTCTCCTCGCCGATCTCGCGGGTGATTTCGATCTAAAATACGTGTCAGAATTTTTGTACAAGTGGACAATAACAAAGTGTGGGGGGTGTTATCGCGTGTATGCTTACGTTGGCACCGTCGCAAGTTCCGATAATCAGACCGCCGTTCAGGACAAACTTCATGTTGCTTGTGCCCGAAGCCCTGGGGATACCGGTTAGCTTTGGAAGGGTCATTTGGGTTATTTGGTAGCCCGCGAATGCAAAAAGGGGACGTACTCTGTTCCGGCTGTGGAAATGTGTTCGCTGATGTCCGAGGCCGGGATGATGATCTCAGCCTTGCTGACATTGTAATCTTCAAGGAAAATCACCTTGAGTGCGTCGCCAATCTCTGGGTCGTTGTTGACTACGGTGCCCACGCTGTTGATGAGGTGGATGATCTGCTTGGCCATCCAGTAGCCGGGAGCCGCCTTGCCACCGAAGATGGACACGCGAGGGAGGACCTGCTTGCGCTGCTCGGGCGACATCGACCTGAGGACCAGGTAGCGGTGGATGACACCAAAGATGTTCATCTGCTGGCGCTTGTACTCGTGGATACGCTTCACCTGCACATCAAAGAGCGCCGTCGGGCTGACAACGATGCCCGTCGTGGTCTTGATGTAATCGGCCAGGCGCTGCTTGTTGGCCAGCTTGATCTCGGCCCACGCCTTGCGGAACGCCGCGTCGTTGACAAACAGCTCAATCTTGTTGAGCAAAGTCAGGTCCTTGAGGAAATGCTCGGGGCCGCCCGCCTTGGAGGCAATCAGGGCCGACAGTTTGGGGTTGGCCTGGTGCAGCCAGCGGCGGGGCGTAATGCCGTTGGTGACGTTGACGAACTTGTCCGGGCCGAAGACGGTGACAAAGTCCTTGAAGATGGTGGTGCGGATGAGATCCGAGTGCAGCTCGGCGACGCCGTTGACCTTGTGGGAGCCGACAATGGCCAGGTAGGCCATACGGATCATCTTGGGCTGCGACTCCTCAATAATGGAAACGCGGCTCAGCATATCGCGGTCCTTGGGGAAGTTGCGCTCCACCATCTGCAGGAAGAAGAGGTTGATGTCGTAGATGATCTGGAGGTGGCGCGGCAGAAGGTGCTGGAAGAGGCCGACAGACCACTTCTCAAGCGCCTCGGGAAGCACGGTATGGTTGGTATAGCCGAACGTCTGCTGCACAATGTTCCAGGCATCGTCCCAGTCAAGACCTTCGAGATCAATGAGAATGCGCTGCAGCTCGACAATGGCCAGTGTCGGGTGGGTATCGTTGAGCTGGATGGCGACCTGGTCGGGGAATTCGCGCCAGGCGCGCTTGGTCTTCTTGAAACGACGCACAATGTCGTAGAGCGAAGCGGCCACCCAGAAGTACTGCTGCTTCAGGCGCAGCTCCTTTCCGCGGTCGAGGTTGTCGTTGGGGTACAGCACGGCGCTGATGGTCTCGGCGCGCTGCTGATCGGCCACGGAGCTCTCGTAGTCGCCGTTGTTGAACTTTTGGAAGTCAAACTCGCCGCCAGACGCCTGGCTGGACCACAGACGTAGGTTGTTGGTGGAGGGAGTGGCGTAGCCGGGAATGGGCACGTCGTAGGCCACAGCGCGAACCACCTCGCCACCCTCCCAGTGGGCAGTGACCTTGCCGGAGTCGTCGGTCGTCTTGTTGACGTTGCCATAGAATTGGATCTTCAGGATTTGTTAGTACAAGAACAAAAGAGACCTCCAATTTATGAGTGGGAGAGGGAAAGCATACATCCACAGTCACATCGTGACGGGGGAACTCCCACGGGTTGAAGTCCAGCCAATAGTCGGGCACCTCCACTTGGTAGCCGTCAATGATCTCCTGCTTAAAAATGCCGTAGCGGTAGCGCAGACCGTAGCCCCAAGCAGGGTAGTTGAGCGACGCGAGACTGTCGAGGAAGCAGGCAGCTAGGCGACCAAGGCCGCCATTGCCCAGCGCAGCATCGTGCTCTTGCTGGATGATGTCCTCGACGCGGAAACCAAGCTCGGACAGACCAGCTGCTTTTGTTAGCACGCCTGGGGCGCTGGGAAACGTATACAAGTAAGAAACACATCACATACTCTGGGCAATCTCCTTCCCGCCAATGTTGAGCATGGCGTTGTCGAGGGCACGACCCATCAGGAACTCGAGACTCAGGTAGTATACGCGCTTCGAGTCGGCAAACGTCTGGCGCTGCTGGGTGCGGTTCCACTCAATAATCAGGCGGTCGCGGAATGCCAGGCTGGTGGCGGCGTAGGCGGCAGTCTCGTCGCAGTTGAACATGCTCCGGGCCAAGGTGGTCTCGATATGGCGGACGACCTCCTTCTCGAACTGGTCCTTGTCCTTGAAACCAGAAACCTGGTTCTTCAGCCATGCCTCGCGCTGGGGCTCGGGGATGGAAGCTGGGGGGGAGGGGGAGAATGTTAGCTAGTTTCCGGCAGCGGAGGCCATCGAGGCACAAGAAAGAGCCTCACCTTCAACACCCTTGATCTCCTGAGCACCGAAGCCGGTAAAGGTACGCTTGTGCTTGGGGCGGGTGATGCCAGCGGGGCTGACAGAGCCCTGAATGTCGACAATCGGAGCACTGGCCGAGGGACGGCGCTCGCGCGTGGGAAGCTGCTGCGCAGACATGACGATCTGTCGGTTCGAAACGGTTGATCGTGGCAGATGGTGGGGAGGGGATCGTGGCAAGGAGATAAGAGGCCGAGATAAGAGCTATCCAAAGAGGTCTGGAAGAAAGGACAGGGTGATGTCAACGGTGACAAGAAAACTAGGCACAAGCAACCAAAAACAGAAAACAGAATCCAAAAAAGATCACGACAAAAGACAATGATGAAAAGCACAACCACAATCGTCTGTCAGAAAGACAAGGAAAAGGGGGAAAGACAAGAAAGAAGGGGGGAATGGAGTAGATGACAGGAGGTGAGCAGGGCGGGGGAGCTTAAGAAGAAAACAGGATGGGGTAACCGGTCTCAGCGTCTAGATGGGGAGGTAAAGAGGGCAGGTACGATGCACTATAATTAAAAAGTGGGCATTCTGCTGCTTGGAGCTTAGGAGCTGCAACTTTTTTGCCTCTACGGGTCCGGAATGCGTCTATTGTACGAGGAAGGACCGACCGTGCTGTGCCAGCGACAGATATTTTCAACTTCTAATGGAGCGATTGGATCTGAGCCGCTGCACGCAGCTGCACGAGAGGGGCAGAACAGGAAGGGTTGGGATACAAGAGCTTCGAAGATGACACCACCATGGATCCCACCCTCGTACAGGAAATGGGAAAACAGAAACACAACCACATTCTGCAAGCTGTCTACCGGCCACTTTCCTCGCGTTGCAAAAGACAGAGACGCATATGAACGACCCAGCACTACTTGCAGCCAACCGCATATCTCTGGCAAGGCCAATTTGAATGGGAGCAGATGGGAGAGCGGGACGGGATGGTGAGGCCGTTGATGGGCTGTCCGACAGTTCGTTAGCAGAAGTAAGAAAAGACGCGGAGCTCGCGCCATATGATATCAGAGATAAGGAATGCCGCGTGCAAAGAGAGACCTTGGCGCATTCGGGTGGTGAATTGGTGGCAACAAACAGATGGCAACAAACAGCAACGGACAGGCTCGACGTGGGTAGCTTCAGTGAGGGTGGGGTAGATGAGAGGGACGAAAGAAAGGAGCGGTGCTGTTGGGGTGTCTGTCCATGGCAACTTGGAACCGCGTGAGGAAGGATGTCGATCGCATGCGTGGACAGAAGCAGTGCAGAATGCAGCGACCAAGTGACTGAGACACTTTGATCGGGAATGTGTCAGTGACAGAGGACCAGGTTCGATACGATGGCCGCATGGAAGCGAGCTGCCAGCCTACCGTCTCCACCGATGCAGTCATAACGACGGGGCCATTGTCTCACGCCAGGTACAGGTCCGGTAAGTAATGATGAGAAATGGGAACCAAAGAGAGTGCCGAGTTTTGTGGACGAAACGCAGTTACTTCGCTGTTTTTTTGCGTTGCTTTCGCTGGTACCTTTTGACACAGCTCTCACACGAGCTGCCAGCCGTTCTACCTTCAGAGTACAGCTGTCGCGTTAGCATGTGATCCCTGATTCAGGCTTCCTTCCGCTTTCGTCTTACACGATTGCAGCTGGGGCAGACGGAATCACACGACGACGTACTGAAGACCGAGTTCAATCAACGTACAATGGGAAATATCATCGAGCAGGATACTCGCAGCCATTCGCACGACGTACGCGGGATTAATTGACAGAGCTTGTCTGATGGCCAGTGGCGAAAAAGGTAGCACGACGCAGCCAGGAACCCCGCCATACAAAACGACAGCTCCCCTGGATTGAGTGCAAGTCGGTGTCCTTGCCTGAGCTGTTGCCCTGACTTCCCCTGGCCTTTGACGCACGGCGCAAGTCCTTTCGACTCGCTCGTTTTTACTCTTTGTAACGTCCTTTATATTCATTCATCCATTCATCAGATTGTGGTTTTTGATTTTCCCCTTCCCCTTCGCCTTCCCCTTTCTATCGGAAGTGGTTACTTCGTTTCTGCTCGTGGCTTAGTTTTGGGCTTTCTTCTGCTCTCAGTCAGCGCGATGCCGAGAAAGAAAACGCTTCTTAGCACTATGGAGTACGGCCGTAACCAAGACTCCGGAGACCCGAGGTGCATAAGGTTCACGGTTTGGTGACTTGAAACAACGACGACGAGAAAAAGGCCGAACACACCGCCTCACCTGTCCCTCGAATAGTTGTTCGGAACGGGCATCGAGGAGGTTGTTCTGTCCAGAGCACGGCCACCCACGAGACCCATATGATTGGACCAGCAGCCTTGCTGGGTGAGGACAAAGAAAATGGAACGAAATGGGACCAACTCCACATTTTCTTTCTCGGTACGTCGTAGCTTCAGTTGCATTACCGTTAGTGCTCTGTATAAAGACCATGAACGGCCTTAAGGGCCAGGCACGGTTCAGAGGAGCTCTGAACACAGAGCAATTACCTCAAACTCGGGCACCAGCTTTTGCGTAAACGCCGTGCCAGCATTCCGCTACAGTACGACAGCTCTTGGATACGTGATTGTTGGCTGTTTTACTGACTTATTACATCTGGAAGCCATCAATCGAAAACACTCGGTTAAAACCACTTAATATGCCGGCGCGTGGTATTTGAATTGTAAAATTTGCAAATAAAACGCAGACGAGGTATGTTGCAATAGGGTAACGAAACAAGCCAGAGAACTTGGCAGACTATTTGTCCGAATAAATATCAAAAAATACCAAACATCAAAATAGAGTGTGCCCACCCTCCAAATCATCAAAACAAAAGGCCCGTCGTTCAAAAACGCTCAGAAAACGCCTCGCAAAGCAGTCATAAAATCGGAAGAGGACTTAAGAGACTGTGCTCCAACTTTCCTTGTGAACCATTCAACGCCGTAAGTCATGCAAATGAGAAAGATAAAAGCAGGACCAAATAAAAAAGGCAAAGCAAAAATTGCCAAAACCGAGCATCGCACAGAACGTGAGCGTTCCGCTTTGTCCAATGCGCGAAAAGGCGGGCATGTGCTTCTGGGAGTCGACGCCGGCGAAGCGATCGGCGTCGGTCATTAGTCTTGGGTCGTCGGTCGTCGGTCGTCGGCCGTCGTTTGTCCGCTAAATGAAATATGGCTTCTTCGGTTCGTCTTTTTATAGGATACCGGAATCTTTGAGAGCGTTGTTGAGTATCGTCTCCTTCACCGCCGCAAAAACTAGGCGAATGTTGGACGTATCGGTAGCTTGGGTCAAACTGAGAGTGGCATGTTAGCTTCCTGCCACCGGTTGGCACAAAGGGCGCAAATCGGGACCATACGTACTGAGGATATAAGTTGAGGTGTGCCCGATTCACCTGATTGAACCGCCAGAGCAGGTACTTTGCTGCCTTATTGGCATCGTCACCGCCAGAGTAGTCAGGGAAGTAGTTGCCCAGAGGTGACCGGCCGAGCTTCTGCTTGAAGATATCAACCTTGTTCAGGAACAGGATGATGCTCGTCCGCATGAACCATCTCGAGTTGACAACAGAGTCGAATAGCAGCAAACTCTCCATCATTCGGTTCTGACTGCTTTCCTCGAGCAGAACTTGATCGTACTCACTCAGAGCCACGCAAAAGATAATAGATGTGACATCCTCAAAGCAGTGAATCCACTTCTTCCGTTCGCTTCTCTGGCCACCAACATCGAACATGCTGTTATGTGGTTAGCTTTGCAGCCTCAATATGAGGGTCTTCAAGGCGCTGAACTTACTGGATGCTCAGTGGGCCCATCTGGAAGCGTGTTTCGTAGATACCGGTTGTTTTTGTTCTGGCGCGCAGAACGTCCATCTCGTTCGGGATATAGTCTGGGTGAACAATCCGCCTCACCTCGTCGAAAAAACTGTTTCGTTAGCAGAATACTTATGTTTGATGGTACTGGCCGTGATCATTGCGCCACTTACTATCCTGCCGAGTCCATGAGGTAGAACTCCGTCTGCCGCTCCATGAGCTGGCCCCGGACAGGGTCCTCCCAAAGAGCCAGGACAGCCTCGCCAACTTTGGGGTCGATGCTTGGCTGTGGACCAGATCCGATTGAATAATCGAGCAAAAAGTCGCAGTACGCACGGATCTCATCGCTCTCTAGCTCAATCTCAAACTGGCGCATAGCGTTGATCACGGCCTTGGCGCATTCGAGGAGGTTCTTGAACACGGTTGGCCGGTAGCTGAAGAGTTCATCCTCCGAGTAGCCCTTCAAATGGATAATCTTCATTTGTTTGACGATTGTCGACTTTCCTGATTCCCCCGAGCCTAGAGTACCGCGCTGTTAGCTTGCAAGAAAATGGCTTCAGACAGGACAAGGGCAAAAGCGTAAACGAGTGCAAACACTCACCTAGCAGTAGAATCTTGCATTCTCGCCGTAACCGCTTCGAATCTTCCTCGAGGTCTTTGTCGATCTTCTGACTCCTCTTCTTCTGCTCCACCTCCTCACTATTTGAACTCATGCAAGCCCCCATGATAACCATTAGGTCAAGTGGACCGGATGCGTGTCTAAGACTGGCGATTGTATATTTTCGGCGTGCAGCTCCTTCTGCTCCTGCCGGATATCTTGTCCACAGTTTCGTTTCTTTTCAAGTCGTCCAAGGTCGCCTATTCGGGAGACACGAAAAACGGCACGAGTGAAAACCCGAGACTGTTGACGAGTCAAAAACACGGGCTATATCGAGACGACGATTTTTCCGCGGTGAGGTCCTCTCGCTACACGCGGCAGAAGCCCGTGGATAGTGGCCCGCCTGCGATTTCGGTTGATGAGCGATCAATCGCTTTGCGGTCTCTAATCTGCTGTCTCGTTGGAGGATGTCGTTCAGTTGCGTCCTCGCTATCCTGCAGCGCGATGTGAAAGGGCCCACAATTGGGAAATGAAGGATTCGATTGAGAAATGGTCAAGTCGGGAGAAGACAAGCTACTTGTTCCGTATATGGGAGAAAAGGACGGTATGTCGAACAGCAGAACGGGAAACGGCGGGTACGGGTCAAATGGAGCTGACGATTAGGCTGGCTGGCCTCGAAGTATGGTTGGCTTTGAGGGTTTACGCGGGGAGGCAAAGACGGCTCAAAGCAAATAGCGCAGGGCAGGTGACAAGAGGGTTGCGTCGAAAATGATGTCGCGCGCTTGAATTATCGTCGTAGAATAGAAGACAGGGTGGATATTGAGGATCCTAGGAATTGTCGCACATGGACGAGTAGCGAAGAGGCTCCGGAAGCGAGTTCGGCGATAAACAGCGCTGGGGTTGATTTTGAGCTGAGAGTGCTGGCGAAACGACTAGCGGGGAAGATGACGAGAGGGTGATGTGGGTTAAGAGGGTTGTCGAAATGTCGAAAGAGAAGCGTACGACGACAGAATGCAAGATGTCGCTGTGAGACTGTTGTTGAAGAGTTTCGTTCGTCGAGTCGCCGAGGGTAGTAACGAGAGAATGAGGAGGTGGAGGAGGAGGAGGAGGCGGCGACGGAGTAAGAAGGAAAGTAGAGACTAAACGGTTAGCTTGGGTAGCATTTTATTTATTTTATCCATTTGCATTTTGTCATGGGGCGTGGCTGTATTACACTGTACCGAATGCCTCTTCCAGGCGAGCGGACAGGGAAGACGAAAATGAACAGAAAAGAAGAGTGAAAGACAGAGGCCAGCAAATAACGAAAAAGAAGAAGACGAAAATAGAGGTGTTGAAAATGACAGCCTAAAAAAAAGGACAGAATGAATATGGACTTGGCGAAAGACGTAGCACAGGGAAATTGGTTAGACGGGAAGGGGAAAGTAACGGCGAGATGAAGGCTGACGAGCAACATGCGAATGGCGGAAACAAGGGAGTAGCAAAAGTGAATTGGAAGACGAGAAGGACAAAAACGAAGCAAAAGAGAGGGGAAGTCAAGAAGGCAAGATGTTCACAACACACAAAAAGACGACAAGAGAGGCCATAGGCGGGCCGGGACACCAAGACAGTTTGTGAAGGAGACACCGAATGAGAAACAGCGGAGACGACGAAACTCTTTGAAAACTCACAAATAGTGTCTGATGCGCGGCCGGCAGAGCTTGCCCAGAGACAAAATGGCGGATAGAGCCAGTAAAATGTGTTTGCAGAAGCTAAATGGGACCGAACGTCCGTGCGACTGGAAGGGTGCGGAGGTAGGGTGACAACACCACGCGCAGAAAGAGGAGATGTCGTTCGCCAAGTGGGAAGAGTAGGATGCCAGCCATTCGTTGGGGAGAGGGCGACAAAATAGACGGGAGCTGTCAACGATGTTAAGGTGGGAGAAGGACAAGGGAAGTCTTGAGAATGGAATACGCAAAGTGTGAAAAGTCAAAAAGAAAGGGAAAGAGAGAGGTTAGAGCAATCACTACATAGAGGCCGCAGGAACGACACATGAATACAATAGGAAGGAGCGATGCGCCGCAATGGTGTACTCTCCTAGTCGGGCTTCAGAGGGAAGGAGCGGTGGGATTGTGTCGAACGGACCAACAGACAGAACAAGCGGCAAAGCGCTGTAGGGCAAGAGCGGCGAACCAGGGTCTCTGAAAGAGAAAGAGCTACGCAGGTGTGGGGAACCAGCAAGGCGCAAATGGCGCATGGCGTCGAGATGCAGAGCAACGTATACTTTTCACAGGCGGCTGCTTCGGGCACATACCTACAAAATGCATCCCATGCAACCCACACAAATGCTTTGCCATCGCTTGCCTGGGGAATAGAATAGTTGGATGTGCAGGTATGTGTGACACGCCCAACAGGGCCAGATTGATTTGGCAAAGTCCTTGTTGACGGAGAATGGGGCCACAGAGTTGAGGACGCGCCAGGGAAACAACGATGGAACAGGCAGAGACGGCAGGCGCGACCTTCGCAAGTGACGCCCCACCATTGCCTTTCTCATGCTGTTGTTCAAGGACTCGCAGGTGCGGTCGCCGTCCAACGGAACTTGCTTCTATGAACAATATTTTTACGAACTTCGCAAAATACATCATTTGGACAACGAGTGTGTGAGGACAATACGAACGAAGCCGTCAGCCACACCCAATGAAACCGAAAACCTGTCGATCAGTTGCGCCTTACCTTAAGCCTAGCATACCGAAGAAGAAAAAGGAAGCCGCGTTAGAATCTTCGACACAGAGGCTGAAAGGCTCTCTAGCAGGCTCTCTTTCCTAACCCCAGTCTATCCGGTTTTCATTGCTTGTGCCCGTCTCTAGCTCTACCCTGTGCGACGAATAGCAGACCGGTGACTTCTTTTGGAACAGGAATCTGCCAGGTTAGTAATAATGCTCACAGTCATGATCTGCTGAGAGCCGTCGCCACGTCGCCACCTTGACATCAACGGCTCGCTCGGCATACAGAAAGACGCTCGGTGTCCTGCTAGCGGCCCACCCTTTCTGTACCATTTACCGGGGCGGGAGGCGGCAGTTTGAAGCTCGAAACTCTCGAGGTTATCCCTTTCTATTGGGAGCCGGACCAGAGCACGCGATAGGAAATGCGAAGGTATGTGGTGAATCTGACCAGGCTCGGCTTGGAAGACAAAGGGACGAAAGATGCGAGAAGGGCATCGTGCAAGCACATGTGCAGCCTAACTACGGCGCACCATTGAGCAACATACTCGTGCCCAGAACACTGATTTGAACCTCGGTATACGTGCACACAAAAAGGACAAGGAAAAAGGGATATGGAAGGCCAGTCGTCCCAAATCGCCATTATCGGCTCGTCTTCTGTGATGACGACCTAGCTACGCTATACGCAGGCACGGTCGCTCACAGAAAAACGGTGTCAAGTGGCAGAGAGCCGCTGCTCACACCATATCTTAGTGATATCAAGTGGCACGTGGCAACAACCTACATAGCTGTAGGATTCGACAGCATCTTACACAGCAATCGATTCGGACAGCGTGCCTGGCGCTCTGATTCGCGAAATCACCCCCCCTCTTGGAATGGAGGCTGGCAAAGAGACTCTCCCCGTCCGCTCTCAAACTTGGAAAGACATCGTGAAGGGAGAAGTGGTGCTGGGGCTGACCAACATGCAGTGGGCCCAAGACCACTAACACGGGCGTGCCCGTATGTATCCCTTAAAGTTGCCACATTCCACATCAATGACAGTAGCGCAAGGTGCAGTACTTTTGTCCTTCATACGGACGGAGTTCGATGTGGAGGGGTTCGTGGTAAAGTCATCAACGGCACAAAATTTATCCAATATAAAAGCTTCAAGTCTCGCGGCCGACAGTATCAGTAACCATGTAGCTAGGCTAACTACATCCACCGCTCATTGTCTCCGTTGCTGCATGATTCGAATTTCAAATACTTCACGGCGCATTTCAACAGCTCTCGAATTTTGTCCCTGGTTCAGACAAATCCTGGCCACGCCAAAGATGGAATGGCGTCGCGCACAAGGCGCCCCTCCTCATATTTTCGGTGGCGCAGGGGTGTCCTGAAAAGGCCAACAGAACAAGGATACGCCAAAATATGTAATACTCTGCAATACTGCGCGAACCTGCTGCGAGTGCCTGTAACACTGATGAACCCGGCCAAACCGCCTATGACTACTTTTTTGTGGACCACCGGTGAAGGAAATATCAGAGTGGGAGATGCCAGAAAACGACCTACGATGTAGTAACTAACCCCTTTGTCAAACAGCAGCGAAAGAGGAAGAGAGAACCAAATCGACTGGTGAGGTACTGCTCCGCAAGTGCTCAAGTGCTCCACATCCGTTGACATTTCTGGACAGGGGCTGAGGTCCGAATCAAACGAGGGTGCAGTTTGCGTCGAGAGGAGAGTGTCAGAGATTGGGGAGTGGGCGAGGAGGAGAGCACAGACGGGGAGAGAGATGAGAAGCAAAACCGCCCATTCCGTTGATTGAGCATTGTTGCTAAGCGACAACAAGAGCACGGATGGAGCTTCGAGGTTAGACAGTCGCAAGTCACCCAGTGGTCCGCGCTTCTTGATATTGCCATCCATCACGCGATTTTCAGCTGGAGCGTAATAGGGGGCTAAAAACACCGACAGAAACGTATCACAGAATATGGAAGGATTTGCATCACAGCCAGTGCTTACGACGTATCTCACTTGACTTGAATTATATGCATCGTACGCACAAACCTGTTTCCCTCGCGTGGCCAGCGTCCATTCTGGCTTTCTGGAAGCCCTGTTCTCTGGCTTTCAGGCTCGCTCGGCTTGCTTGGCTCTCTTTTTGTTTTCATTTTCAAACTCTCGCACTGCCCTTTTGGTAGCCATGCTCCCTGTGATGACGGATCACAATCCTACGTGTTCATCCCCGATCGAACGTTGCAAGGGAAATTCAATAATAATACGAAAAAGTACGGAGTAATTACGTATACGTTGTGGTTTGGACTGCCGAGTTGCCGTCCCTCGTTCATTTCCTATTTCTTGGTTCCGTGATACCCTCCCCTTCATTTTCCACGTGTCGTTCGCGTGCAGGACGGGCGGCTCAAGGGGGAACAGAAAGGGGGTGAAAACGTCCGGCGGTGGGTGGAGTTGTGAAGGAAAGCAAACCCGTTTTCTGTGCTTGCCGACGTCGTATGCAGCTTCTGTTTTCTTTTCATGTCTCATCGACGAGCATTTCCTTCTTTTCGTCCTGAAACCGTGGGTTGCATCTAAAGCAGGCACAATCAATAACGCTGCATAACGAGAAAAAGAAAAAGTACCCGGGAAATGATATAACAAAAGGAGTAATTACCTGCCTGCACACAGCGCAACTGAGTAATACTCCCATCCAATCCGAAGGATATTGCAACCATGGTATGGGTCGCCCGCTATCACAAACGACAGGGACGATAAAACCGCAGAACGTTGCCGAGGATATCGAACGCAGAGTCGGATGGGGAAATATGCACAGGCGGTTTTACAAGAACAGAACAACGACGTGCAACAGGAAAAACCTCTGGCTACCGCGCACCGGGAGAGAGATGTTGTCCTCCTGCAAGTATGGGAAGGAAGCGTAGGAAATTATGTGAATAAAAACCCGTGATTTTGTCCGACTTACGATTTGTTTTATGGGCTTTGCACCAAGACGATGGAAGCAAAAGAAGCCCCGGCACAAACACGAAAAACTAGAGAACTGTGGCTCAGTGTTCCAACCCCGCATGTACATGCGATCCGGAGGGTTCCATGCCATGAGAAAATCACGCTCGTGTCGGGGAAAGGGGATGCGTCTATTGGGCAGTGGTGTGCAAACTCCTCGAGGCGAACTCCAGACCAGACGATGATCGCCGCCTGACCGTCTCAACGTCCGGAACCAGATACCGGTTTTCACGTACAGACTACACGCTCTCGCATTCAGATAACTGCCTAAATCGCGAACCGAGAATCGTCATGGACGGTAACAGGTTCACTTGCGTGTCAGTACCTGATCGTCCGGGATTCGTACCTTTTTCAGGCGCTGGTCATTAGACCGAGATGTGAAATGCGCAGATGTCAAATGCTCAACAGCAGTGACCTTCTGACAGACACCGCAACTGGTAGGCCTTAGCATGCAGTGGTTATAAGACGATGCAAGTTTACGTACTGGAGTATGTGTCATAATAGTTGACTCTTCAATGACCCTCAAGTCTGCCCGAGTATGAACCAAGTCGACAGCGCTTTAGCGCACAAAAGAGACGGAAGACGGGAAAAGGCTTTCTCAGCTCCTTTGGAATCGGCATAAAAAGCGAACTATTTTTATATCCTGGTCACAGCTTGGGAACAAGCTGCTGATGGTGTAGACCAGAAGACAGTCGTCACCTTTCACCACATGGTGGAACTGATCTGTCCGTGTTACTAGTATCGTACCGAAGCAGAGTTGAAACCGTGCGATGGCAAGACGACACGGCAAGTTTCGCTCGGAGGCGTCCCGGGACGAAGTAGCTAGCACGTCCCTCCTTGCTGCCGGTTTCCCAACCTTCGATAGCCTCTGTCCCATTTTTGGTATTTTCGTTTCCTCGCCTCATGCTGTAGAAAGAGCTGTCTTCTGTGAATAAGCACTACACAACTCATCCCCGTCCTCCGCTTGCGCCTTTTACCCTGCAGACGAAGGAAGAGGAATCTTTCTAGAACGATTTGGAAAAAAAAACCGGCAATCACATGTCTCCTCCTGTCACTTGTGTCCCCATTACTTGAGCCTTTTTCTCGTCCCTCATTTCCCTCATACGCCGCACAATTTCTTCTTTTTGTCTTCCTCGCATCCTGCCCTTCTCGACTGCTGTACGTAACGCAGTAGTGCAACTACAAAGTAGAAAATGGTGGGCCAAGAATGTTGCTTGAGGGAAATTGCTGCTTTCTCCTCGCCAAAGCAGGACAAGCATGCCCGAAGCTGATAAGTTATGTCGTACAAATAGGGAGGTTATGGCTCCCCAAATAGGAAGGAGCCTAGCCAGGGCCTATTCAGCGGTTCGGCCGTGATCTGTTCAACTTTTATTTCAGCTTCATAGTCCATAGTCCTGTCTGATCTCCGCCTGCCGAAGCGGCACCCAACCTTGTTGCGCATCTGGCCTCTTTCCTCATTCTCACTACGCCTGCTTGGCGTCCTGGGCCGATCCACCAAAAGCTTCCTTCCAAGGCCTTGGTGGGTACAGGATGAGCTGTTGTTATCTTGTGGGTCATATTACAACATTCTATGGCGAGAACGACTTTGGACGACAACGCGATAAGAACAGGAACCAGAGGGTCTAGTATCGTTTTTGAAGGCTTGGATGGTATGGGTCGCAGCGCAAGGGGGAAACATGTTATACACGTGGCTGCAGGATAACAATCATGAGCGACTTCTTCTGAAAATGCGCCGAGTCCTGTTCCTTTGGGTTGTGAAAGGCCGAGATACGGGACGAGAAAGGCCAATACGGAAGCCTTCAGAGGCCTCATCGTGCCGCGTCAGATGCAAAAGAAGAAGCTGAAACCAACATGATAGTCGATAATCTGATCGCTCGCAAAAGTGAATCTATCGTATAGCTGTACAAAACGACTGTCTTTACCTCCCAATTGCCCAACCGGCTCGCCAAAAGGCACTGAAAAACAAACCAGGCATCCGACCGAACCGCCTCCGCCGTAACAAAAACACATGGCAAAGCTAGATATTGGGCATCAAAACGCAAACAAAGAGGGGAAATGGGTATTATTCCACTGCTCCGGCCAACGTATGGGTACTAACAAAGGAACGCAAGCTCACATGAAATGGGGGGAGGGAGGCAATTAAAAAATTGAGCAAGATGAGGCGAAAATGCATCAATATAACAACACAAGGCTCACGAAAAAGCAAGATCAACACGAAGAACGTGGCCCAAGTGGCATGGCAGCCTCCGCTCATGCCAGCCGCATCCGTTCACGGTAGGCCATGAACTTGCGAACGTCCATGTCGTGGTTGGAGCACGACACCGACCACACCGCGCGCACTTCTGCGTCTTGCTCCATCCAGTCCAGGTAGCGGTTGATGCCGTCGTTGTCGCCGTCTGCGGAATCGAGCCAGCCGAAATCGCCGTCACGCGTCTCAATGTCGTGGCGACGCGCCTGGAAGTGGTCGACATACAAGCTATTGAAGGCGGTCCACTCAAGCATGTAGTGGCGGAATTCGGTCACGTATTTGTCCCACGCCGCAGCCGTCGGCTGCAGGCCGGGCACGCCCAAAGCGGCCGGCGGGTGCGGTGCGACGGGCGCTTTGGGGAACGTAATGTTTTTGCGCGATCGGCTGCGGCTACGAGCAACGCGTGCGGCGCTGCTGCCGCCGCCCTGCATCGAGGAGGGAGGAACCGGAACCGCGGCCGACGCCGCCTTGCTCTCAAATGGCAAGTTGCTTTGGAGGTCGCCAAAGGATCCGAGACCCGTCCCGGCATAGCCCTGGATGCCTGGCGCATTTTCCGCAAACGGCTCAACTTTGTGAATGTCCGACAACGTGGCGCGGAACTCCTCAGAATCTTCAGAGCCACGAACGTGGTCGGCGCCAGCGTTCGGGACTGGTCTCGGGGCGGAGGCTGTGCCAGCACTGGCTGCGGCGGCATCAGCAGCAGCAGCAGCTGTTGAAGCGGTGCCAGGCTTGTTCACATCCCCCGCCCTCCATTCGGGACGTGTAGGCTCCACAGGAATTTTCCGGGCGCCTTCCACGTGTGGGTTAGGGCTCGAGAGAGGAGCACCTCCAGCCGTATCGGTCCCCGACGACGCGACTCCCGATCTCCGCTCCCCAGGACCTGCCTCATGAAAGGTAGTTTCCGTTGCCGGGGGAGAGTCAATGTCCATGGCGGTCGGACTGGCAAAGCCACTGACGTCTGCCTCTACTTCAATAGGCTGCTGTTGGCTCTGCTGCTGGGTCTTATGGCCTACATCATTTTCCGCTGTGGACCCGCCGCCCTCTTCATCGTCGTCGTCGTCGGGAATGACAATGTATTCGCGAGGCGCAGTCGTGTTGGACCGCTGAATCGGTTTGGGCTTCTTGATAGGACGCGCCCGTTGCTGAGTGGGGGTGGACTGCCGCGGCGGCAGGTTGGGCGGCTGTTGTGCAGTCCATGGCACAAAGTGTTCCGAGCCAATCTGCTCGGCCCATCGTCCGGCATTGAAGTAGTTGGTCGTCGTTGTCGTATTGCCTTTGGTACCAGTGGTGGCGTCGTTCGTCTTGCCAGAGTCCCCATCGGCCGTGCCAATGGTGGAAGACACTGGGCTTGGGTCTTGTGACGTAGGAACCTGTTGTGGCCGTGGGGGTGGGGGAGGCGGTTGGGGTGCGCTACCATCTGGCTTCGGAATCGAGTTACCTTTTCCGGGCGACCGCCGGCCAAGACGGCTGCCGGACTGCGAGCGGCGGACCCGGGACGGGAAATCTCCGTACGACTCGCCCTCGCTGCCTCCGGCGCTAAATGCCCAGGCTGCATTGGCCTTCTCGCCTGAGACAAAGCGCGTATTGATATCTTCGACACTACTGCGCGTGAACGGATTGGTCCGCTCTTGGTCGGACGGCGTACTAGGCACACTGAAAACGTCATCGTCGAGGGAAAGGTTGGAGCTGAAAGTACGGGTTGCACCGTTAGCATGAATAGGACGATAAAGATCACTAGTGAAAAATTGGACTTGGGGGAGACTGCAGCTTGGGACAGGTGCATTCAAAAATCGGTTGCGACCGCCATCTTCCGGCAGTCCATATTCCCTGCCTACTGCCGCCGCTTTTCTCGGTACTGCATGGCCTGCCGACTTCGCATGACCGGCCTTGGACTCGGACTTGGAGTCTCGGGACGAAGGCTTGTACACCTCGACGTTGTCGACGAGGCCCTGAATAATGTTGAATTGTTTTGCTTCAAAAGCGTTCATGCCTGCCATGTAGCCACTATTGAAGGATTTGCTGTCGTTCTTGCTCGGGTCTCCACTGGAAGACTCCGTAGGGTGAGAGGCTCGCCGCTTCGGCTCAGGCCAGTCAGATTCAGGAGGTGTGTGGCTGTTGAAATGAAACCAGCTTATTATATGCTTTCTGGATGCCATTTGCCGCTGGGCATTGGCAATTCCATCACTGCATGCCCTGCTAGGTACGTTTTTTGCTGACATATACGATGCTTGCTTGGGGTCCTGGGAGAAAGGAGGGGTGGCATACAAAATAGGTTTGCTTTTGTCGTTCTGTGGGGTGTTGATGTTATGTGGGTTGCCTGTTCAAAAGAAAGCACATGTTAGTTCCCTGCAAAGCGGCTCTCGGGGATATGGAGGTGTTGACTGCGACTCACCAGTGTTTTGTGCGGCATTGTTGTTAACCGACGCAAAGTGATTGGACCGTTGTTCCTGTTGCTCCTGCTGTTGCTGCTGTTGGTCCCCCTGCATTCTCTGGTATTGCTCCTCAAACTGGGGCATCTGTGAAGACGTCGCGGGACGAGAGGCCTTTGATGTGGGGCCTGACCGTGACCGGGCGCTCGACCGAGGAACACCAGTATTGGCGCTATTGGCTGACGGCGAGTGCGAGGCCGCTGCTGCCTCGTATGCGACTCCTGCCGCAACCCCAGCCGCCGCACCAGCAGCTGCCGCCGATGTCGTCGCGCCCGTTCCGCCGCCGGCTGCTCTCTTCTTCGCAGAGGCCGCAGCCTTGGTGGCATTGTCTGATTCGTCGGGAAGACTTGAGCTTCGGCGGCGAAAGTCGGGTCTTGCTGCCTGCGGGTTGACGGAGCGGTAGCTCTTCGTCCGGTTCAGATCCGCCGTCATACGTACACCGTCAAACGGATTGAACTTCTCGCCGCCGTGGGTTTGATATGGTGTGCTCTGGCGAGAGTCAAAGAGAGACTCGTCGGACAGGTTCCGGGGCTCAGGCTTCGCTGGCTCTGATGCAGCCGAGGCGGATGCTCTTCGCGGCTCGGGGGTGGGATGGTCGGTGCTTGACGGCGGATCTGGCTGCTCGCCAAAAAAGTATCCCCGGCTCGTGTGTGTCCGATTGGTAAAGTAGTTGTTCGTGTTTGCAGCTGGCGGTTCGTCGCCCATCTGTGACTGCGGGTGGAAGCCCGTGGGTCGCCTGGTACTGGTACCAAACGAAGCGTTCGCTTTCTGCCTTTGCGAAGCCGTGCGTGCGGGCATCGGTGTCTGGGGCTGGGGGGGATGAGGTGGAGGCGGTGGTGGCATAGAAGACGAGGCAGGATTTGCGTTTGCCTTTCTGCTCGTGTTGGCGGCCGACCCGGAATTGGCAGCGGCATATGCGGCGCTGGCACTTTGGCCAGGGCGGCCCTTAGCTGCATTTGGCCGCATGTTCTTCCACGCATTGTATCTTGAGTCGAGGTCTTCCTTGCTGGTCTTTGCAGATGGTGGGACGTTGAAGCTAGAATAGCGATGTGAAGACGAGGCCGAGGAGGAGGATGGCCCCGACGACGACGCATGGGTGTTGCGCGCGGCCGAGGTCGGGGCCTGGCCAGGCCTACGGGGTGGCACGGGGTATTGGGACGAGACATCCTGCCATGGGTTGCCCCGAACGCCCGAGGCGCCTGGGTAGCGGGAGGCATTTCGACTGCGGTGGCTGTCGTACTTGGACTTTTGTTCGGGGCTGGTCAAGATCTCGTGGGCGGCTTGGATGGTTTGGAACTTGGCGTTGACTTCGGCCTCCTTGCCAGGATTGCGGTCCGGGTGGTATTTTAAAGCTAAAAAGCAAGAGACAATACGCGTCAGTTTTCAGTATTTAGTATTCTCGGCGTTGCACGAAGAAGAAAGTGTGTAGGTCAGGCGTAGAGGACAAACGCACCAAGCTTTCGAAACTGCTTCTTGATCTCGTTGACATCCGCGGATGCAGGAAGCTCCAAGTCGGCGTAGTAGTCCCTACTGTAGTCTGCTTTCGCCATGGCAGCGGTAGTGTACCGCTGCTACTGCAGCAGAGAGCAGAAAACCTGTCTCTGGCTTCTCGCTCGGACTCGTTTCTTTCTTGTATGGACTCTTCTGCTGCAAAGCCGTCTTTGCGGCAATTTAGCACGCCTTCTCGCGTCGAAATGCGTCGCGCTGATCGTAGGAGTCGTGTCGTTCATGCGGCCGTGTCGAGTTTGCTTGGACAGAAGAGGCGTCGTGATCAGTGGGGATAGAGAGATATATCGTATGTGCAATCTTGAGAGGTTGAAAACAAAGACCAGTATCTAACGAAGGTCGTCACAGCGTCAAAAGTGGGCTGGAGCTAGTCGTGTTGTAGTGACTAGCCTTGCTTTTTAGCTGCGATGGGCGGTCAGTATTTGGTTCGGATAGCAACACAATACACCACAAAGCACAAAGAAACACAAAGACCCCAACAGCAAGGCTGTGTATGGGAATAAGAAGCTCTGCAGCGCGAAAATACAGTGACAGGAACAAGGTGTGTGCAATCCTTGCCGAAAGCGACCGCGAGCCGTCGTTCCGTTTGGTACGAAGGACATACGGAGTATTGCAGGACAAAGACAGAGGGTAAATAGAGGGCAAGGGTGCTGTTTAGGGGCGAGGAAAGTGTGGGAGGACGTGTACAAGTTGGGCCTGCGGGCCAGTGACGAAAACAAGGTATTCTGTGCCGAGGTGGGATATGAGTTTAGAACGAGGGGAAGACAGGGCAGAGGAGATAGGCAGACCCTCATGAAGTCTAGTGAAATAGACAAATGAAACGCAGCTGAAGAGTGACTGCTTGGTTGGTGCGAGCTTTTGCTTACCGGTATGCGTCTCTGTTCGGGGTTGTGTTTTGGTATGGTGCTATGAACAAGTGAGACGACAACGCTGGAGGAGGATGTCGTGAGAAAAGAGAACAGTCAAAATGCAAGTCTGCGATCAACGACGAGGAATATGTCGTAAATGTTGAGGAAGGAACACAATAGGTAGTCAGCAGGCAAGTGCACGCCAGGCCGCAGGTACGCAGGAAGGACACTCAGAAGGTTCGACCTGTCAGCCTCACTGTCGCACTGGTTTGGGAAGTGTGCAAGATTCTGTCTCGGCAGCGCCGTTGGTCGCCGTTCCTCCCAACTTTGTAAGGTTTTGTTTGTGAGAATCGATGTTTTTTTTTCGTTTTCTTTTTTTCCCTCTTCTCAATCTTAAAGACGCAAATGGGCACTCTGTGGCGGTGTTCTGCGTCGACGAGTAAAAAGGCACAGCGTAGAAAGAGGGGTGTTTATCCTTTCTTGTTTGTTTGTTCTCGAATAATTCTCGGGCTTTTGTTTTGGGGCCCTCTTTGTTCGCCTCAGCCCAACCTGAGCTAGGCCTCAGCGTCGCCTGAAAACGCGACAACCTTGTTGATCCTCGAGGCTGCTACGCTGGCTCACTGGGGAGGCACCAAAACAAATGACCCCACAACTAGAACCTAGCCGCTGGCGGTCCTCGGGCAAGCCCTGTGGTTCATGGCTGTGTGGGGCACACCAGACCGCAAATTGTGGTTGGCTCTATTGACATCTGCTTCTCTCCGCCTACGACATCAGAAAATTGAAGCAATATTCTGTACAATCCCCGCTTCGGCGACGGGCGATGCCCGGTTGTCAAAATACAATAAAACACGAAGCGGACCAAAAAAAAAAAGGGAAAAAAATAAGCACTTCGCAGGGACGCTGCTCCCTTCTCAATGCTGTCTTTTTCTTGTTTTGCTTCGCCGCTGTGCGTCAACAAAACAGGGCCACAGCGGCTCGTCGCCGTACACTCTACTGTGCGTTACTTTCACGTGCGCCTCTTGGTGTTGGCTCTACCCACTGTACTACTGCAGCCAAAGCCGCCTTTTGTCGCCAAGGCCAAGCCGGTTCCGAAACCTTGGATGTCGGGCAGGCATCAGTCCGTTTTGTTCGCCGAACCTTTCTGCTGCCGTCTGTCGCTGTACTTTCTTTTGCTTGGCTCCGTCACGATGCATAGGGGAATGTGAGGTTATGACGTAGTGACCTGAAGGGAGGCCCAGACCGCCTCGTCGCCTAAACAATACCCTCCCAATAACTGCCACAATAGGAGGAGCCGATTCAGAGGAATTTCCCAGAGGAACTGTGTCCAGCTTGTCGCCAGCCTTGTTTGAGAGTTTTCTTTTCAATAACCCATACATCCAAGACCAAGGCGTCTCATCATTCGGGACATTCACGAAGGCTGAAGTTCCTTTCTCTTTGCGACGCCATGTGTCTGTATTCAAAGAGCATGGTGGACACCCTGCTGTCCATATTGGCCCCTATGGAATAACAACGAATGCCAGTGTCTCGCGCCGACACGGGCCTCTTGATAACCAAACTGTGTAAGGGGCGGCACAACCAGGTAAATATATCAAAATAAAATACAAGCAAAAAGACCCCTGACAAAATGCAACCCAAACAAACGCCTAACCTTGTGCCAATTTTGCCCAGCAGCTGCTGCCGTCCTTCGCCTTATACAATCACACCCTCGTCTGCGAGTACGGCACACTCGCCTTACAACATATCCTTGCCCAGCTCATAGGACCAGCCGCCCTCACGACGAATCTTGTCGCGTGCAGCAAGATCTTTCCTAATGTCGTCATCTGTGAGACGGTCAATACCGCTCCAGTTGGCGCTGCTGCCACGCGCACGGAACTTGTGCCAACGGTCCTTGCTCTTGTTGAACACCTCTTCCATGTTAAGGGGACCAGGCGGGCCGAACACCTGGAAGGGATCGACCGTCTCCTGCCGCATGAGTGCCCGGCGCAGATCCGGCGAGTCTGCCCACGGCGCCGCGTTAACAACCTCCTCCTCGCTGTCTTCGTCATCTGTCTGGATGTCAGGCAGCTCAATGGCATCACCGTTCGGGAAGCGGGGTGACGACTTCGCCGCAGACTTGCCAACAGACTTGGCGGCCGATTTCGCCGTCGACTTTCCTGCCTGCGGTGCGCCAGCCGGCCGTAGTGGTGTCTTGTGCGTGCCTTGCGAGGCTGCTGCCACTGCCACTGCCGCAGCAGCCGAAGTCGCGCCGTTGCCGCTAGGAGCAAAGGAGATCGCTGCCTTGGATACCTGTGCCATGTCCATTGGGTGAGCCGTCTTGGTCTGGTAATTATGCTGCGCAGTGACCGTAGATTTGAAGAGATCACGCGACACATTCGTCTGTGCCGTAGAGTAGCCGTTACCAAAGACTGGTTTGTTCGGCAAGTCCTATAAGCTTGTTAGAGACAAAACAGAAAAACAGAAAAGGGAGGGGAAAAAAAAGCAAAAGGCAAGAATGGCAGCGAGGTAGAAAGAAACAAACCTTCTTGAAACCTTGTGAAGGGCGGATCGGCGGGCCTTTGATGCTGGAGACGCGCACTGCATGGCCGCCCATCTCCAGCTCGTCCTCGTCGAACTCTTCACTCATCCGGATTCGCTTCGCATCCTTGTGCTGGTACGATGGCATGTTGCCGCCACCGCCATTGCCACCAGCGGTACCCGGACGACCGTGGTTTTGACTTTCGTAGGTGTCGGTACCAGGAAGAGGCCGCTTCGACATTGCCTTGCCTGTATGGGAAAGCACAGCATTGACCGGCCGGTGCTGCTCCTCCTGAGAGCGGTGCATGCTTGTGCCAGTTGCCGTAGCCAGGCGAGACTGCGGCCGGGGAGGCTGAGCTTCGCTTCTTCCATAGTCAGTCGAGGGCCCGCTGGGCAGCTGCGTACGCTGCACAGGAGGTGGCGCCCGTGTCTGCTTGGCCTTCTCAATGGCCGCTTGCCGCTTCTTGGCGGCCGCCGCCTCAGCCGCCGCCTGCTCGCGTTCGCGTTCCCGTTCTCTCTGCTTCTGTAGCTCCTGCTTCCGCTGCTCCTCTTGCTCTTGCAGAGCAGCCCGTTTCCGCTCTATCTCCGCCTTCGCATCACGCTTCCGTTGTGCCTCCCGCTCCTCAACCTCCTTGCGCTTGGCAGCTAGCTCCAGAGCTTTGGGGCGACCCGTCGAAGAAACAGAGCTCTTGAGACTCTGCAAGGATGGCTTCGTGTGGAGAGATGCGGTACTAGCCTTGTTCTTCAGCTGTGGCGGACCGACAAGAGTCTCGTGCAGGGATGCAGCAAGAATGCTGTTGGAAGGGTGGAACTGCGAAGACTGCTGCTGGTGCTGCTGTGAGCTGGATGTGTTGACACGGATGACCGTAGGGGCTTGCTTCGTCTTGGCGGGAGCATCCTTGGTTGGCTTGATCGGGCGCCGGATGGCTCGTGTACTTTGTGCCGACCGGGGAACCGACGAATTCGCAGTAACTGTGTTGTGGGCAGGAGGAGCAGGCGGGAGCATGCTAGCAGGGGCATCGGTCATGTCCACATCGTTGTCAGCCTGCTGCTGTTTGGCTTTGCGCGGGCTTGTCCGGGTGGGTTTCGCTGCCACGCGACTTGGAGAGCTCGACTCTGGCTTAGGCTTCGGCGGAGGTTGCTGCGACAGCTCGTCCATGTCGTCGTCCCTGTCGGCCACCGACTGTGGCAGTGACTTCGGCTGCTGCTGCGGTTGTGCCTGCTTGTGACCTCTCAGCTCTCTTTGCGCAGGCGTCTGCGCAGGATTCTCTACAGTAGCGGCGGCTTTTTCTTGCTCCTCCACAAACACACGAGCCTTCTCGCGCTCCTTTTCACGCATCTTCTCCAATTTGCCCATCTGCTCGGCCATCCGCTGCACCTCTTTGAGCTCCTTCTCGCGATGCTTCATCTCGCGGCGCTCTCTTTCTGTAGAAGCGCGAGTCTTGCGCGGCCGCGTCGGGCTCTCAGAACGAACTGGTGACTTCTCAGGACGCGCAGGTGATTCCTGGTTCGACGGCACGTCTGAGGGGGCCGAAGCTGCTGACGCAGACGACGTCGTCGACACGGTGGTGGTGGCTGACGTCTGCCGGGAAAGATCAGGGCGCGCAAGGTCGGCCGTGCTGTCATTGCGAGACTTGAAGGTGAGGCTGTCGGTTGACGGGCCCATAAGAAGCCCAAGACGAGTCGATGACGGAGAAAGCAGCGAGGACTTGCCCTCGGCACTCAATGCCGCGCTGCTAGCAAGAAGACCCTTGGACGTTTTGAGAATGGAAGACAGTTTGTTCTTCACGTGCTTGAGAGGACTGTCGCGGTAGTTGCGCGACGGGGATTTGGAAGGCGACGGTGGTCTGTCCTGCAGTTCAGAAAGTGCGCCAAGAACAACGTGGGCAGCATTGGCAGGATTGGAGACCGAGATAGGCTTTGTCGTAGTAAGAGCCGATGAATCAGACACTGGGAGCGAGGGCACAGAAACTGACTTCATGTGGCCGGTGACTGTACTGGTTGTTCTCTCAGGAATAATTGGTGCCTGCACCTTCTTAGGCGATGCAGGCCGAGACACATCCTGCAGGCGCTGCTTCGGAAGTACAAATTCGGTCTGGGCACCGGGAGTATCAGCGCCCTCTGTCGTGGGCGAGGGAACCATGGCGTGGGACTTGGCAGGGCTCGTACTGGCTGCCACAGCGTTTGCAGGAGGGACAATCCAGTCGTCATCGTCATCTTCCTCGTCTTCGGGAAATGCACCAGGCGCGGCAACTGAAGTAGCAGTTCTCTTCGGAGACAGCGACTTTTGCTGCTGGGCCTTTGTCTCCTGGTGATGGGCAAGGGCGGCCAGAGATTTGGAAGGGCGCGGCGCATTAGCCTGTGACTTGCCCAGCATGCTGATCCGATCGTGGAGTCGCTGAGCATATGTCTTGTTGTGTGCCGCCATGTCCTTTTCGCCAGAGGCTTCATTGTTCACTCCGGCGTTCCTTTCGTCGTCCTGGTCATCGTCGTTCTCCATTCGCACGTTTCCAATGCTCTTACCACCGGTGGGACGGTTATAATAGCTCGTCCGCGACTGGTCAACGCGAGCCAATCCTGCCCCAGCACCTCCAAGGCTCTTGTTCGAGGTGAAGGGAGCACGTGCAGGGAGAGAAGCAAAATTCATGCTGCTCTTGCGAACCATCGGCCGAACAGGGCTAGACGGGTCTGAAGGAGAACGCGCTGCAGTCTCTTCCTTAACTTCTTCCTCATCCTGCTCCTGCTCCTGCTCCTGCTCCCGTTCCTGTTCCTGTTCCTTTCGTGGCTGAAGAACACCCTCCTCAGCGACAGCATTGTCCTCAACCATATCATCATGTGCTTCCTCCTCGTAAACAACAACGTCCTCGACTTCCTTCCCAACCACCTCTTTATATTGCCAGGACGAAGCAATAGCAGCACGCTTCTCTGCAATGAAGGCCGGTACAGATGCCATTGGCGGGGTGGGAACAGCCGGTGGGACATTCACGAAGGCCTGTGCCGGTGATGCGACTGAGGCAGTGGGTGCAGAAGCACCCATGGCGGATAGAAGCTCACGAGGCGGTGGGCAGGCAGGTGTAGTTGACTGGAGGGGGGATGAAGGGGCAGGAACGGGTTTCCGTGTCGGTGACGCGACGGTTGGCGCCTTGACCGGGGACGCGGCCTTGGTCGGCCGCGCAGATGAAGGCGACTCGACAGGGCAGAATGGAGAGGATGATAAAACCTCGGTATCGGGAGACGGAGACCCAGGTTTGTCGGCAGGCGGAGCGGCTGGGGCCATCACTGCCGTCTGTTCTTCCTTGGCCGAGTGGAAAGTGGGTTCCACGGTGGGCTGTGTTGGGCTTGGGTGGTCTGCCATTACATCGGGAGACATGGCCAAGTCTGCTGCTGATGCTGCCGCGGTCGTTGTTGTGGCTGCACCCTTCTGCTTATCCAATACCTTGGCAGGAACGGGCTTACGAACGATGACTTCCGGCGTCACGGGACGTGTCGGTTGTGAGAAGGGCTGGGTAGACATGTCATCACCGGCCAGTTCGTCTTCGTCATCATCGTAGCCAAAGGCCACGTCCTGCGATTGACTTCCATGATATCCAGAGTCAATAAGCGAGGATGCTGCCTTTGTTGGTTTAGCAGCAACGGGTGCGACAGTTCTGGATGTTGCCTTCTTCGTGTTCTGCGATGACGCTGCCACTGTCTTCGCCTTTGCCGTTGCAGCGGCGGCTGTCTTGGCAGGGACAACGCGTTGCGGGCTCGGGCTCGGGCTCTTCCGGGGTGGCGCGGGCTTGTCCTCGGCGACTGTGAATGTAGGTGACTGGCGTCTTTGTTGCTGCTGGATCGATGTGAGTTTGGAAACGGCAAAAGGATTCGGGGCGCCCTTGGGTGTAGATGAAAAGACGTCGGTTAATGGCTTTTCCTGTTGTCAGTCGCGTTTCTTTTGCACTCATAGAAGCTGTATATCTGCGCTTTCTTGATGTCGAACTCACCGCCCGGATGTCTGCCTTGTTGGCTTTGCGTGCTGTGCGCGGCGTCTTTCCGCGTAACTTGCCGGGCGTCTTGAAGATGTCGGCGACATTTCTAATAAGAAGACACGCGTTAGAAATCTCCAACCCATCACTCCAAACCACTTCTACCAGGCAGCGAACGCACATTTGGTTCTCCGAAAAGATCTCGGCCATGTGCTCATTGAGCCAGTCCAGCTCGTTCTTGGCCGAGAACATAAACTCGTCCACCTCCGACTGGGCAATGTGCAGAGCTGTTGTCCGCTCCTCTGCGATCCAGGGCGCCGCCCCGATGGGGTGACGCGGTCCTCTCATCGCCATGGCGGGCGAAAAGGCGCGGCGAACCGAAATACAACCGGGAGTGAAAGAAGACGCGAATAAGAGGGCTGGCGAAAAATGGGAGTCGATTCGTGTCGAGAAAGGAATCGAAAGTCAGTGGTGGTCGATGACTGTCGATGTTGACTTTGTCGTGAATTGGAAAGAGAAGAGGGAAAACTAGAATCGACGTTTCAAGGAGAGGGGGCAGAAAGGTACAATGGGCAAGAGGGCAAGAGGGCAAAAACGTAAAGAAACAGGCAAGAGCCAGACGCCGGCAAGCAAGGAACGGTGGAGCTGGGGCCTTGAACTGTTTGTTTTGATTGTGATTGCTGTTTTGGGTAAGTGCGGCAACTGGATCATTGTTCTCCACACCCACGCCACAATCCACAAGCCACAAGCCACAAGTCACACACACAATACGCGTGTCGTGCATAGCGCTGTGAATGCAGGGATATAAAGCCAAGTCAACAGGCGATAGAGCAATCAGTACAAAGAACAACTGGAGGTCCTTATGAATACCGCTTACTTCTTTTCGCTAGCTGATCATGAGCAAAGGCAAAAGTGGTATTGTTTTAACCCTAAAGTGTAATGCGACAAAAGCCCGGTCAAGCAAATCCAGTGACGAAAAATTGGGGAGAAAAAGGACATAATATGGTTTAAAGAAAAGAAAACAAAACAAAATAGAAAACAAATTACCTCACATCCACAAACAATCTTTACTTTGTCACTGCTTTCATTTAATACACGCTTTTCAAAAATTCCGGTCCCATCCATTGTTTTTACCTAACAATATCGTACCAAACATGTCAAGGGTAGTTGGAAATACAGCCGTGGGAAAAGAAAGAAAAAAAGCAGAAGCAACACAGAAAAGATATGAGAGCATAGAAAGACATAAGTTGTGATACATGGATCCCATTATTCGGCCGGCGCGGCCACCCCAATGTCGCCGTTGTCCTCGACAGCCGGCACAAGGACACCCTCGGCAGGCTCGCCGTCGACGACCTTGCCGCCGCCCTCGTACGTGACGCGGTGCCAGCCGCAGGGCTCTCTCTTATCCTTGATCCACTCGACGGTAGGGAAGTAGTGTTCGTTTTTCTTCATGGTGGCCACCCACGGCACGCTGTCAAAGGTCATAGCCTTGAGGCGGAAGTCTAGGCGTGTTAGTGAGAAACACCACACAACAAAGAGGGGTACACCAAAGGGGGGGGAGGGAGGGACGGGGGTACTCACAAGTATTATCCGGAATCTGCTTGACGGCCGCCAAAAAGGCGTCCAGGTCGGGCGTTGGCTTGCCGTTGACGTGTGTGATAAAGTTGGTGGGCGCCAGGCCGTACTGGTACGACGGCGAGCCACGCGTACGCGCCGACACGTACACCTCACTAAACAGCTTGCTGATCTGCTGGCGCACGGCATGGTGCGGGCGGTGCAGGACGGCGCCGCAAAACGACACGGCGCGGTCGGTCTCGTGGTCGTCCGCGGCGACGGTCAGGAGGTCGAGCTTGATCTCCTGGCAGCCACGCACAATCGTGGCGTCGAGCACCTCGTGGTTGTACATAATGTCGAGCTCCGAGATACGGGTAATCAGGCGGCCGTTGAGCGTTAGCAGAATGTCGCCCTCCTTCAGGCCAATGGACCCGTTCTGGCTCTTGTCAAAGGTGCGCTCAAAGGTGCGCTTGGTCACCATGAACAGCTGATGCCGCGCCGTGTTGGCGGCCGACACTTTCTGGATCCATTCTTCGGACACACCCATCAGGCGCGCCTGCAGCATCTGGATGGCACGGAACTCGACGGGAAGCATGCGCAGCTTGGGCACGACGCCGCGCTGGATCTGCTCGATCACGGGCAGCAGCGTCGGCGTGGCCAGACCCAGGTGGTACTCCTCGTCGCGGTGCGTCGACGGTGAGCGCTCGCCCAGGTACGTCAGCCAGAGCGCGCGCACGGTGCCGTCGTCCGACGCAAGCACGGCGCTGCCGCACTGGCCGCTCAGGTTCGTATCCACGGTGATGGCGTCCACGTTGATGGCACGGTAGCGCGGTGCGCCAGGGTTGGCAGGGATGTTCACGGCGGACACTTCGGTGACAGTGGTGGCCGCATGGACTACCCGGTTAATTCGGTTGTAGCCGATAAAATTGGTGGGCGCGCCCTGCAACAGCTCCTCGGTGCTCAGACGCGCGCTCATAACAGGCGCGTCCACAAGCGACGGGTCGTACTGGATGATGGCGTAGTTCTGCAGCGGGTGCAAGAACACAACCTTGCCCTCGACGTCAATAGACTCGGCAATCGTAATGGTGATGTCGCACAGGTCGTAGGGCACAATCGCGCGCGAGATGACAACAAGGCCTTTCTCGGCGTCAATAACGAGGCCCATGCCCCCCCTGCGGTTCTTGGGGAAACCGTCCAGCTTCAGCGGCATGTAGCAGGTCACTTGAACAAAGCTGCGGACCAGATCGGCCACGCCAGAGTGCGGCATGTGCCCCATCTGAATAAAGGACGCTTTCCGCGGCACAGGCGGGAGGGCCGGGAGCGGGTCGCCAATGTCGGTAAAGTCCCACAGGCCGGACACGTCGTTGCGCACGGCCAGACGCATCTTGGACGACCAGTGGCGGTCCACGTAGATAATGGCGTTGTGCACGCTGTGGAGGTCGCGCAGGTGCTGGTACATGACCACGACGCGGGACTTGTCGGGAATCTTCTGGACGACCTGAATAAACGTCTCCAGATCCGGCGTCGCCTTGTTGTCGATCGACTGCACCATCAAGCCGCTGTCGGAGGTGTCGAAGCGGAAGGAGCCAGACGCCTCACAGACGTAGACACCCTTGCAGGCGACGCCGAAGAGACGCGCTTGCTGGTAGGAGAGATTGTGGAAGCTTGCGCCCGCCACAGAGACAAACCGGTCGGGGGTGATGCTGTGCAGATCGCCGACGGGGACGTTGACAATGACCGTCTCGCCGCCGCGCTGCAGCTCCAGCTTGACGTTCTGGCCCACGCTCGAGTCCAGAATGTCGTCGAGGCGGATGAACTGGGTCAACAGCTCGTCGTTGACCTTGACCAGCACGTCGCCTTCCTCGATCTTGCCGGCCGAGGGGCCCTGGGGAAGGACAATCTCGGCAACCAGCATGTTCGTCTCCGAGGGGAAGGCGGCGCGCATCTGGGCTTCGCAGGACGGGGTCAGGCCGAGACGCCGGCACTCGTCAAAGGGCTTGAGCAAAAACTGGCACTGGATGTCACCGCGCGTAATGGGCTTGCCCTCTTGCAGGCAGCGCAGGGCGCGCAGCGGGCGGTCGAGAGGCAAAAAGTAGTCGGTCGACGCACCATCGGCACGGCCGCCTGCCTGCAGGGCCACCGCCTTGCCGTCAATGTTGACCACGGGACTGCCAGAACTCCCGCCGCTCGCAGCCGCACTGGCCTGGTAGTAGCTTGTGTTGAAATCGCTGTAGCCCTCGCCGTATTCGGGCGCGTTGCGGTCCAGCCGGCTGATAACACCCGACAGGATACTCAGCTTCTCGCCAGCGTCGTTACCCACCACGCGGATCTCCACACCGACCTTGGCCAGGTCGGGGCTGAGCGGCAGGGACTCGATGGGCATGTACTTGATGGCAGACGGGTCGAACTTGAGGATGCCAAAGTCGTGGACGGGGTCGCGATACACGGGATAGGCGTCGACCTCCTCGTGGTTGTCGAATATGCAGTAACCCCAGAACGGGCCGGAGCCGACGACGTGGCGGTTGGTCAGGATGTAGCCGCGCTCGGCGTCAACAACAAAGCCCGTGGCCTCGCTCGTCAGCGCCGGGTCCGTGTCGAAGGAGCAGGTCTGGCAGAAGCGGATGGACACGACGTTGCGCACGACACGCTGGATCGTCTCCTGCCACTCGGCCGTCTCGGCGCTGCCCGGTGCTAACAGGACAGCCGGTGGCACCGAGGCCGAGAGCTGTTTTTGGAGCGTGACCTTGCTGTGGCGGCGGTGGCGGCCGTTGCTGCTGATGTTGTTCTCGTTGCTGCTGGGGTTGCTGTCAGCACCGTCTTCGGCGGCATCGGCCGCGGCCGTGCTGTCGTCGTCCCGGTAGCCATCCTCGTCGGTAGCCCAGCTACCGGCCTCATTCACTCCGTCAACGTCGCCCTCAAAGCCGCCATCAATCATGGGCTCGTCTTCGGCAACGTTTGATACAGGCACGCCAGCATATGCAGCAGTCGACCCGCTGCCGGTGGCAGACCGTGGCAGCTTGGGGGGTCTGTCCTGGTCGACGGTATAGGAGGTCTTGCGCTTTGGCCGAGAGACCGGCGCCGTGGATCCGTTCATATTGTCGGCCGGGGGCTCTGCTGAGCAAGAGGGCTCAGCGGAAGAAGAGAATGGGGTCGTGGCAGCGGGCGAGGACGCTCGTTGCTCGGCTGAGGTAGATGCGAATTGTACGGTAAACGGCAGGAGAGTGCTAGGCAATGGCCACAGCAGCTTCGCAGAGGGTGTCGTGGAGATGTGGAAGGGGCTGTGCTTCGGAGAAGAGGTCACGGGGCGAGTCGAGCAGGTCGAGAAGCGTGCCGAAGAAGGGCGAACAGAAGACGTGAAGACGGGTGACTGAGCTGAGCTTCTGCAAGTGCTGCGCAAAGTCGTAAGGCGCATGCACCTCATTCAGCTGGAGGCGGGTCGGCAACGGGGAAGAAGACGCTTCGGGGAGGAAGTTGAGCGGCGACAAGAGCTGAAGGACAAGGATGATGAGTGCGAGAAGGGTGAATGGCAGGTCGACATATGATATATAATGCGCCAGGATGCTTCTCGGACGGACGCCTGGGATGAATGCACAGCCCAAAGAAAATACGAAACAGACGAAAATGGAATATGAGCAGCCACACAATCGACGGCCTGGATGCAAAAACGGTGTCTGCCTGGGGGGACAAGGGAAGACGTAAGATCCAAGGGCCTTGGACAAGAAACGAGGCCAAAAAAGCAACCAATGTGAATGGAGGGACACTCCAGCGACAAGGCAGGTGCAAATACGCGAAAGTCAGAAAGCCAATGTTGCGCGAGCAGCCAATGAGAAGTCCGATCCGCATACGCTCTCCAATTTTCTAGGCCTTGAGGTAGAGATTTTTCTGTGGGGGCGACAGGTTTAGGCGCCTTATGTAATACAAGACGCCTGTCATCAACGGTCCAGGACAAAGCCAGCAGTCATGTTTTGATACACAGACAACGGCAGTTTATTTCGGGCACATGTATGTTGTAAGATCAGTCTCACAGGGTATTAACTTTCGGTGCGAGCCCTTTCACAGAATAATAAAATTGCAGGCCGTTGTTCTACAAGAAAGGCGCTTCCGCACCGACCTAAGTACGGATGTCTATTGATAGGAAACAGGAAACAACGCTCACAGGCCACTCCAAAGAATGAATGTATCAGAAAGATTAACACATCGAAATGATAAGTAATGTATCTTAAGCCTCTGCCCAAAACTATCGTCTAATGTAGTTTACCGGTGTGTACCTGTCCTTCAGCCCTTTCATCGTTTGTTTATGGCATGAGAAAATAGAAAATGAGATGGATATGGATGAATCAGGAGAGAAGGACAGATGAAAAAAGACAGGAACGAGGATGATAAGCAAACGGCCAAGTGTGACAATAGTGACAAGGTGTGGGGGGAAGAGGGGGAAAGAAAAAAAAACGGCAGAGGTCAAATAGCGATAGTAACCCTCGCCCTCTCTCTTTCTGCCCGGGAATATGATGCGACAGTCTGTACAAAATCGGGAACAAAGACTGCTGTGCTTTTGTCTAAAAAAAGCATCCTGTTTCCAGTCAAACACATTGCCCCCCCTCTTCTTTGCTCCGCCCCGGTGCGGTAAAGATATTCATACATGCGCCCGCAGGTGGGCAGCTAGAAATAGTCCTTTGGGTATGTCGTCGTCTAGAGTACCATAAAAGAGAACGCATGCCCCGCAACCCGTCACGCCCACCTTAAGCAAGGTAGCCGAGTTCGTCGTCGTCGAGACGCTCAAGGTATTCCTTGTCGAGAAGGATCTCGATGCATTTCTTGATGTCACCAACCTTGGGGTGGAAACGGCCCTTGATCTGCGCTATAGTCTCGCTGACAAGCTGGGCGTGCTTCATGCGTTTCCGTGCCTTCATAATACGAACAATGGCCGACTAGAGACGTTGTTAGCATGTTGATCAAAAATAGCAAGCACCTGAAAATGAAAGAGGCTACTTGTGCATACCTGAAGGAGAAGCTTGCGGTCCTCTTCAATCGTCTTATTCGTCTCGGCCTCCTCTTGCCGCTGCTCGGCCTTCATGCCGACATTGAGGTTAATGCGAATTTTCTTGTTCCGGAAGTCGTAGTTGAGACTGAACGTCTTGCCGGGGCCGACCTTGTCGCCAGCCTTCTCGCCATTCTCGTTGGTGACGAGCAGAACCTTGGCCTTCACGATGATGGCCAGGCTTGGATCGAGGAACTCGTTGCTGAGCTGCGTAGCCGATGCGATCTCTTCGTACGTGTGTGTGTCCTTGTCGTTGAAAAGCAGCAGGATGGCCATTTGGTACGCTGAGACCTGGAAAGTGTACGGCGTTTTGGAGCTCTTGCAGTAGCTCGTCTTAAGCTCGCCCTTGCACAGCTGCCAGAGCCATGTCAACTTCCGGCCCTCGTGCTTGTTCTTGTAGAAGCGATTGAACTTATCGCAATCGGCTTGAATGTCGGGTGGTGGCGCAAACGTCGTAGTCGGCGCCGACAACGGCCAAAAACCAGTACCCAAAACAGCGTATTGGCCGTCGAGCGAATTGCCCTCCAGGGCCTGGACGTGGTCCTTGAAGCCAGCGTTGAGATCCTTGGAAACATGCATGTCTTGGAACATCCGTTGTAGCCGATTGGTATACTCGAAGCCGCACGCTTCCTTGAGCTTGGAAATCATGCTTGCCTCGGCGTCGTCCGACGAGGTGCTCGTATGGACCAGGCGGCGAGCCAGCATCCGCGAGTAGAATTTCTGGAAAACATCCTTGTCCTCAATGTATTTGAACACCGTCATGATCTGTACCAGGCTAAGTTCCAGGTCGGCCTCTTCGACGCCTGCGCCGCTCTTCTTCAGCATGAAGTCGGCGTACTTGGCTAGCAGCTCAGGGCTCTTGTTAGAGCCGGCTTTGCACACTTCGTTGCGGTTGACGAACTCGCGGCACGCATTGTCCAAGGACCTGGTAAATTCCGGCTCATCCGTAAAGGCCCTCTTGACCAGGGCCTGGTACTGCGTGTGCGTCTCGAGCAGCGCGTCCACGTACACCTTGGGGTCGAGCTTCTCGGCGTCCGCAGCAACTTTGCTGACAGCCGACAATCCAGCATTGCGAACGTGCGTCTCAAACTTCTTCCGCAGAGGGTCCAGGCCGTCCGGTATTCTAGACAAAAGGTTGTACATGCGCGCCATGTCTTCCTCGCGGTTGTTATCGAGCAGTGCCTGGAATTCCTCGCGCAGCAGATTGGCGTGATCTGCTATAAGCGCCTGGTTGCAGCACCGCTTGAGAGGCCCGGCAATATCAGGGTGCAAAAAGAGCTCGACACGCTTTTCCTCTTCGGCCAACCGGCTCTCGGCCTTCTTCATGAACTCGACAACCGAGTTCTTGCCAACGAACTGGCTGCTCTCTTCTTGGTAGTACTTCTTCGTCGCCGCGATAAAGGGCCGCTCGAAATGATACCGGTACGTGTCCAGTGTCGTTTTGCTCGCATCATTTTCGTCAAGGCCAAGTGATACCATGGACTCAAGAACCTGCTTAATCTGGAGATACTCGATAGTTTCTCCGTTTCTCTGACGCTCCACCAGACTTAGAACTGCATCCATGACACTAGAAGAAATCTTGTCGAAGAGGATGCTGCGCCATTGCACCAAGTGCAGAATGTACACGTCGTACACGTTCCGTTTTCCTTCATCAATTTCGCGCTTAACCCAGTGACGGTTCAGATAGCGGAAAAGGTGGTGGATGTATTTGGCGGCGACAGTGTACCGATCCCATTCTCTAATATAGAACGCCAGGAGGGCTTCGCCGCTGTGGTGCTCGGCCTCTAAGCGAAGGCCTGTCAAATGGTCGGCGAGGTACTCTGTCAACTTTTCGTACAGGTCTTCTCCAAGCAGATGCGCTACATGACAAAAGGGAGCAGTTAGCGTACAAAGCTTAAGAGACAGGAACAGCTTGCAAGTTTGTTAAAATTTGGGGGGAAGAGGTAGAAGTGCTATACCTCCTCTAGAGTTTGCACCTGTGGCAGGGCTATTGTTTGTGGCTGCCTTTTGGGACGTGCAGAAGTTGTGAATGGCCCTGGAGAAATCGAAAAAGTTAACATCACAACTTAAATACAAGGACAGCCCTCTTGTCAGAGCCGAAGCGGTAGAGGGTGTGGAGAGTATGCTCACGTGTATGTTCCCATGTACTGAAATAAGAAAGAAAGAAACGGGTTAGTGTTAGGACATCATAAGAGAGCCGAGTCGACCCAGACAAAGGTGCTCTGCAAACCGCCACGGAAGTACACTTACGGTTTCCATCGTCATGCCTCCATCAAGGTTGACCATGATGCTGTTCACTCCATTCTTTAGATACTCCCAGGTGGCGTTAATATCCTCGTGGTTGGGTTGCGGCATCAGCGCCAATCCGCCGGGTCGAGCGTTAGCGACCGGGGGCATCTTGAGGTGGTGCTGCGTGATGCGGCCCCAGGTGGCTTTGCGATCAATGGCAGTTGTGCAGTTCCGGTGTTTCCGGCAGCAACGTTTCTCGAGAGCCGAGACAGATAATGTGATGGTATGCTGTTCCTGGGAAACAGCTTTGCTGAGAACGACTGATCTAGATGGCGATACGGGTGCACACGAGAAGGGAAAGATGTCGAGGGAAGGGTAACAAGGCCGACGATGCGCGTAAGCTATACAGAATAGAGGTAAATCGAAAGAAAGCGTCGGTTTAGGTGACAGTTCGCTGATAGGAAGACGGTCGAAGATAAAGCAAAGCAGTTGCCGCAAGAGCGTTAGAAGACAACGCGCGCGGCAGCCTCAGCAGGGGCACGGGGACGAATAGAAATAAGGCAGATGGATGTTCAACCGTGACGGGAGGCAGCAACAAGAAACTCGAGAATTCAAGCAATGCAGATGGACGAAAGGTCGAAAGGGAAAATGAAAAAGAAGGGAGCCTCGCGTTGGGCGTTTCGACCCGTATGCAAGGGGGCGAGCGAGGCAGCGGTCGGGCCGGCTGTTTGGCTGCGCGCGTGGGTGCTGCTCGCAGGGAACGAATGCACTGATGTCGAAAGCTGAGGCTAAGAGGGTGGCACAAAGCGAGATGGAAACGAGCCACGATTCTCCCGTAGTCGTGTCGATGCCGGTGTGTTGTTTGGGTAAAAAAATGCGGATCAAGAGATGTCCAGAAGGAGGTCCAAAAGGAAAGAAGGGGATAGAAGTGGTGATCATCGAACAGGGCAAGGGAAAGAGCGAAGGAGAAACAGTTCAAGCCTTGGACAGTGGGTGGAGAGGGGCGCGGCGGTGGCGGGATGGCGACGCTTTGGGGCAGATCTGACTAAGAGGTAAGTGGCCAATTGGCGGCATCGCTGCAAGGCAGCCTTTCGTTTGGTGCTCGTTGGGGCAAGAAGCGGTCGGCGCAATTACGCTACGCGCAGTGTATGATGGAGGGGATCTGTAGGCAGAAAGGCGCTGGAGTGCGGGGTGGAGAGAAGGCAGCACTGAAGGGAAACAGTGTGGAGCATTACAAGCGTACAGGGATCAAACAACGATGCTAGGCACCACCTCAAATATCTACGACGGGCTATGGGTAAGCAAACTAAAGGTCTCTCCTAAGCAGAGCATTTATTCACTCAGGGCCAACACCAACAAGACGAGCCGCACCGAAGGACCTTACGTGACAACAGTGTTTGCTTAACGGCAATGTTTACCTTGCCTACGGAGAATAGTGAAACAAACAAAAATCTCATACCACATTACAAGGTTTGAAAGCAAGCAGTTTCGTCACAATGAATGATGGAGATCTCCCCGTACAGGGTTATAAAGCGCCCATTTCGATTAACTAACTTACGACTGGGTCGGGGAGGATGAGCCAAAGAGAGCCCAGGAATATGGAGGTTCACGTTGTTTTAGACTCCAAGGAGACGCCGATGACGTCGGAGACAACGGAACAGTGACAGCCGGCTTTCGGTGTTGATATTCGTCGATAAACCGGCCAAAAGCCTCAACGTCGTCTTTAACCTTTATCACATCAAAACGAAGTATGTTCGACGGGTCCTAGGGCCAAAGAGGCCTCACTAGACCTCAGATCGGGTCAAAAGACGAAACGAAAGGGCATAGAAACAAGCGTTTGCCAAGGGTTCGATGCCGGTGCTGAGCAAGAGTAGACTCGCCGGATATAAATAAAACAAGACACAGGAAAGACCACCCCAGATTGCCATACCAATGTTCCCTTATTCTACTCGATCCTCCCGTTGGGAAGGAGAAAGGTCTCCATGTCAGTGGGATCTAGATCTCCAGGCGGTAGAGAAGTAGGAGTACAGTAGGTGGTATTATTTTGCGGGTGGTAGAGGATATCTACACCACCAACTTTTGAAAAACATGGCAATATCACATGTTCGACCCTACTGGGAAGGCATTAAAGACGTTGGTATCATGATAAAGCCTCGTCAATTATGGGGCATCTAACGACGCGAACTCATAGCACGCGACATTTTGCAAAACGACAGTAGTTCAAAACAAACAACTGGCAATGATGTATGTGCTTGTGTATATACATGTAATAAATCTAAGGAAATTCCAAGATGCAAACGCGAAAGGATTATGACGTATAAACTGTGCAAAACAAATAAGAAAAGGTCCTGCGGTCCTCTGCAAACCGTTACCGTACAACGTTCCTTGTGATATAATTTTTGGGGTGGGACTTAAGTTGCCCATCTTCATGTTGCTACTTATTTTTTTCTTTCTCATCAGCCGTCCGGCATGGCCGTCGTCATCGTTACTGCACAGCCTCTGCATGATGGTTGACCACCTCGACACCCGACACAAACAAGGCACTCACGCCCTCGAGGCCTGCGACAAAGGCACACAGCAGACTAGCAATGACAAAGTGGCTGATGGTGGAGCCAATCTCGAGCCAGGAGCCCTCGTCCTTGACGACCCAGAAAAAGTAGAGGGTGAGGACGTCGCTAATGGCCATGACAGCCATGAAGAGGGACGACGGCGCGACGCCGAGGCGCATGTTGAGGATGCCCAGGTTGGCGGAGATGAGAGCAAAGGGCACGAGCAGCTTGAGAGTGAGCATGGCGCCCTGGGAAAAGGGGTCAAAGACGGGCACAAGACGCTGGACGCTCTCGAGGCTGAAGGAGGAGACGGAGGCGACATTGCTGGCGCTGAAGAAGGCTGACTGGAGCAGGATGAAGAAGAAGAGCACGACACGGGCGTCGGCGACGGTCAGCGAGCGATAGGCAGATGCTGATGAAGACTCACTCACAGCCTTTGCTGAGCCGTTGGTGCCGTTGGCCTTGGCTGCCGCTGCCGTTTTCTTTGAGGGCTGCTTCTTTTGCGATGACTGGGACTGTTGCTTCGTCGTCTTGGGTTCCTCGGCGGTCTGCGACTTCTGGGATTGCACAGAATCCGCATAGACGGCGTGCTCCATGCGGACCCAGGCGAACAGCGTCGCACTAAAGGCCACGTAAAAGAGGCCCTCGTACGAAATGGTCAGGATGACAAACGTCGGGGCAAATGTCAAGAAGACAACCATCAGGCGGTACAGATAGTTGTTGCTAGGGCGCGAGCGGTGCAGGAGCGGCATGACCAGGATGGAGATGAAAAAGATGAGCAGGGCTACAATCTGGTTACCCCGGGGCAGACCGAGCTTGGCCTGCAGCGAGAGTGCGCTGGAGCGCGTCACCCACATGGACAGCACGATCAGGCCAATCTGGGCACCAAGCAGCGCCTCGCTGATGGGGTCCTTGGCGGCAGCCGCAGCGGCCGACTTGACCTTCTTCACTGCGGTAAAGTCGTTGAGAATGGTGTCCTCAAAGACAAGGTATGCGACGCCAATGATGACCATAAGGGTGCCTCCTAGCATGCTAAAGACAAATGTTAGTAAATTGACCCCACAAAGGCACTCTCATAAACCTCTTAAAACGTACATCAGTCCAATGTTCTCTGTCTTCATGGCCGGCAGGAGCGTAAACGTGCTCATGGACAAGCACGACACAAACCAAAACACCGCCAGGGTAAAGTGTTGCTGCAGGAAAGAAATGCCGTGGACGGCCGGCCAGAAGGCGCCCAGGACGAAGAGCAGCGTGAAAATCTCGCGGTAAATGTAGCCGAGGGCCAGCGACTCGATAATGGCAATATAGAGGGCAGCGTTGAAAATAAGCGACACAAAGCGAGCGTTGCGCGAACTGCCAGACGCGGTGGCGTCGAGGGTGCGAGCAAGCTGTTTGCGGCCGGCAGCAAGACTGGCACGGCGCGAATAGACGGCCTCCCAGAAGAAGACGGGGAAGAAGGCGTAGGCGTAGTACGAGAGCGGCGAGCTCGAGGCAAAGAAAGATGCATACAGAGCCAGGAGCGTCGACGGGAAGAAGATCGTGCCGGCCAGATCACGCGAGGGCAGCGGGCGTGTCGTGTCGTTGAGGACGTGGAGATCAATGACTGTCGTCAGCGCATAGGCCATCCAGCCCAGGTACCCGATGGTAATGAGGGCGCGCAGGAACAGCCAGTCGTAGGTCTGGAGGTAGCGTAGACCGGCCAGGCCAACCTTGAGCAGCGCGGCAGCCTCCTCAATCGCCTCCTCGTAGTGGCCGGCTTCGATCAACTGCTCTATGGCGGTAAAGCGTTGGTCGGTGCTGCTGCCGCCATCCTCGTTGCTGAGCAGCTTGTAGGGGCGGAAACGCAGCTGTGAGCGGCTCTTCTGTTCCTCCTTGACGCGATACATCTCGAGGATACCGCGCGCGTTGACCAGGGCTGCCTTGGCCTTCTCATCGATGGGAGCAGCCAGGTAGTCAAGAGGTAGCTCACCAACCGAGTTGGCGGGGAACTCGAGACCAACAAGGTAAGCCATGAGCGCAGCAACGTCAGCTTGGGCTACATCGTGGCGGTGGATGTGGCTGAGGCCCCAGCCGGATGAGTACTCGTCGTGGCCGGGCGCCAGGCCGGCCTCGACCGTGTCCTTGCCCTCGCCCTCAGGGTACACCAACGGCGGCGCCACGCCAGAACCCCACACAATAAGCGGGGTCCGCGTGTTGTCGGGGTGGCCGTCACCGTGGCTGCCGTAGTCACTCATACCGTGGTCGGCCGTAAACACAAACGCGGTCCGGTCGTCGTTGTAAAAGTCGTTAATCAGCTCAGTGATCTCCTTGACACCCTGGTCGACGACTTTGATGTTGTTCAGGTACTCGCTCGAGTAGGGGCGGAAGCCGTGGCCGGCCGTGTCGAGGCCGAGCAGGTGGAGGAAGAAGACAATCTTGTCCTGGCGCAGGCTGGCGGCCAAGGTCTCGTTGGTGCGGGCCTCGGCGAACATCTCCTTGACGTGGTCAAAGACCCAGTAGTCGAGGATGGTCGAGTCGGACGAAAAGTCCTCGTCGTCGGCGCTGTAGTGGTCGGCGTCGACACGGCCTGCCACGGCGCCTTGTTCGAACATGGGCAGGATGTCGGGACTGCCCCAGCTCCATGTGTGGCGGCTCCGGTTGAAGACGCTGTCAAAGTTGACGGGGTTGAGCTTCCAGCCCGTGGTGACGGCCGACACGTCTTCGTATAGGCCTGCAATAAGGGCGACATGACCGGGACGAGACTCGGTGGGAACGCGAGTGTGCGAGATGCCAAAGGTGCCGTGCTCGAGGACTCGGGAGCGGAGGAAAGGCGCGAGGTGGCGCGGAATCAGATCGTCGTCGTTCTTTGGGTAGGGCTCGGGAAGTGCTTGGAAGGCCTTGTCGGCGCGCAGGCCGTCACCTGGGAGCAAATCGTGTTAGAAACAACAGCAGGGGACATCTGCGGTCGGCGACCGTGGCCGTCGTAGAAGTACGTACCGACAAACAAGACCAGACGCTCTGCGGGGGCTTTGGCTTCGGCGGGACGGTCTACCTGGAACAGCCGCATGCCAGACACCACGGGGCTGACAAAGTAGATGTCGAAGATGGAGAAGATGTAGACGAAATGAAACACCATGGCAATCGCCAGGAACCGGAAGCGCGGGAAGCCCGCCATGGCTGCAGACTGGCAGGAATGGTTGATTCGTTGATAGTTGCTTTTCGAACTGCCGGATGTAAAAGGAAACGGTTGGTGGCCGGTCTATCGTGTCGTCGTCGGGACGGTCGCGTCGCCAGGCGTCGAGCGCACCGTATCAAGGTAGCGCCCAGGAGAGGCAGAAAGAGCAGTGCGCAAAAGCGTCAGGACGAGTGGAATCGGAAAATCAGATGAGGTCCATGCCCACGGACGTTTCGGAGTGAGGCGAAAGGAGCGACAAGAAAGAGATTAATTAGAAATTAAAAACGGGAATTATAAGCAACAAAAACGTGAAGAAAGGAACGGCGTAAAGAAAATGGAAGATGTGGGAATGGGAAAAGAAAAAGAAATGCTCCCCTTCGATAATCACGATGTCGACAATGAGTTCGTAATAAAAAGGTTGAACCACAACTTTTCTGGAAGTCAAAGCTCACAGTCGCGGCTGGCCATTCACATCGCAGGCGCGATCTGGCGTTTTAGGCTGGCGCGCCTTCTGTGGCTTGTTCCTGGGCGAACATGTTGTGGCCGGAGTGCAGGGGCGGCCCAAAGAAAGGGGTTGATCATGATTAGCGCGGTCCTTATGGTTGCCAATGGAAGAGGCTGCCAACGGCTGGCAAGGACGGCTCGAGAGCCACTGAAACAAGTAACGAAAACGTGCTACGATCCGAACAGCTTTACTGGAGATGTTGAGGGTCCACTTATTTAAAATCGGCGATGCACACAACAGTCAATTACACCGAAAGGGGAGATATTCCCAAAACAATGCCGCCGTTCGTAAAATTTTTGGGATTGAGTAAATTTGTATCCTGTTCACTATTATTTGTTTACGGGTGTCGAAATCTGTGGACGGACTTTAGGTTCTGTTCATGTTTATTTAGTTTTTGGCTGGAAATACTATTATTTTTGTAAACAAATATATATTGCATATCATGATGCAATCCTACAACAAGCTTGATTTTACGACCACTTAGGTTTTCTCCGCGAAAAGAATACCACAATAAAATAAAATAAAACCCCCAAAAAATAAATAAGCAAATAAATAAAAATTAAAAGAATTAACAAAATAAATCAACACAATACATGCAAGTGACTACACCACACCCGTCCGTGTCTCGTCGACAGATGATGACAAAGGCAGCTGCATGCGGGAGCTGTCTCACAGTTTCCCACGCTTTCCGCACCCCATCTTTCTTGTCGACCTAGTATACGGGTGGAAAGAAGGATGGACAGGATGGATAATTAGTCAAAAGTCGTGTGGGCACCATGAACCTGGCGGTCTGCCGAGTACACAAGTCGCACCGAATCCTGCTCCGTACACACTGTAGCACGCAGAACGCTGTATACCGTTCACCTGCACAGCATTTCTGCATCCCCACCGGCCTTACATCATATAGGACGAGTGTCCACCTCACTGCCCGGTCGTGGGACCCAGCGGCCGTCGGCCAGCACGCACGACATCCAAAAAAATAAACGTAGAAATAATAAATACTTTAGCATAAACAGCCGCGGTCACTACCGCCGGTGGCACAAGAAAATGCACAAGCAACGGTTCCCCAACCGAGGGCATCATGGGATTCATTGGAGGGAGCAGCGGGCTATCCCGACCTTCGATGGTCTTCGTTGAACAGGGCTGTCAACGCAGTGCGTTTGGTCAGAGGGGAGCTGGCACCAAACAATCCACGGGACTAGATCAGGGCACTGGTTTGGCAAGGGGTCACAAGGGCCAGACATTCTGCAGGCTTAGAACGGGTGAAATTTTTGAATATTTTTGGTGTTTCCGATACAGCGTCAACATATGAATCCGGCCTTCTCTTTATGACAGGGTCTTACCTGTCTCCACTGGACAGCCGCCGGGCACAGCAATATGAAAGCAAAAACGCACGGGATAAATGTAGTAAGCACGAAAGAAAACCTCAGAAAATGGACATCAACTGGATGAGAATATAGTAATGGACGACAAAGATGTACAATATAAAGAAGCAAGAGAAGATCAGGTGGGGGACCAGACTCCAAAACGCCAGCTCGACTTTGCTGATATAAAAACGGTCACAGAGACCACCTCCTTTTCTATGTATATATAAAAAACATCGCAAGCCAGAGGAATCCTTGAGCTTGATTCGATGACAATGACAACCGTGCGCCCTGGCAATGCTTTCATCTTCTGGGTTAGATCTTTCGGTTTTTTTTTTGTCGTGAAGTTGTGGCCTTGTAAAATTTTTTCTCTGATGTATCTTGGTATAAAATATTTGTCGCAATTCTTTCGTTGCGAAAGCTGCCTGTCGGAAGGAGAAGGGTGGAACCAAGACTGGTACTCCAGCAATACCAAAGGCGAGGGAAATGGTAATGTTGTTGATGGTAGCGAAGAGGCATAAAGGACCTCTCAGGAAGATACGGGGTTCATTGTTGGGCAGAAAGACGGTTTCGACTTTGACGGATGTCCAAAACGAACAAGAAAACCAAGGCGAGCCCGACAAAAAGTAAAATGAATGGCATGCACGCAAGAAACGCAAAAGGCGAGAAACGAAGAGAAAGGAACGCCCTTTTTTGGTGCCAAGATGGAAAGTGCGTGGTCGTGGTTATCGTTTTTGTGTGAATTCGCACAAAAAAATGAACGTTTGTGTTTCAATTTCGTGATAAAAGGCACTTTTTATTTTTATTTTCCCGCATAAATGTCGTCAGGTCGTATTGAGAAATGGTGTGCGAGGAAGAGCGCCTCGTCTGAGGTTGAAGATGATTATCGTTTGTACACACAAGCAAAATTTGTGGTGTTGGATTCGAGGTTCCGATTGGGGTTGTGGGAGAGCACAGGCCGCGAGGGCCAAATCAAGGAGTGGATGAAGCGCGGTGAAGGGAGCGAGAGACCCGCCAGCAAGATCTCCCGCGGGCAGCGTCCAGGGGAAAATTAAAAGGAAAGAAAAATAACAAAGATGAGCAAGAAACAATCGGCCGAGTGTCTATAAGATAACGCAACGGTTGCTCTTGGATCTCCGGTAGCGTTCTGAATCCGTCCGACGAGAGCTGCTTTCGCCACCTGCTGGGCGACGGGTGCCGCTCGAGGGAGCAACAGGGCGCGATGCCTGCTGGCGCTGCCGGCGCAATATGCGGACAACGTCGTAGAAGGCCTTTTCGACGTTAATGCAGTTTTTAGCTGAAGCCTCGACGAATTCACAGCCCAGCTCGCGGGCCAACGCATGACCTTCCTGGGTCGACACTTCGCGCTCGGTCACACGATCGCTCTTGTTGCCGACGAGCATGACAGGTACGGGTGCCTGGGAATTAGCGGCGGCCAGCGGTGAGCCAGGGTATGACGGCGAAGAGGCTGTTGACTCTTTGACCCGCTGGATTTGGTGGTGGAAACGTTTGATACGCGAGAACGACGAGCGCGACGAGATGCTGTATACGAGCACAAAGCCTTCGCCATCTCGGATCCATTGATCGCGTAGCGCTGTGTATTCCTCCTGGCCAGCTGTATCGAGAACCTCGAGCATGCATGCCTGGCCATCAATGACGACCTGCTTCCGGTACGAGTCTTCAATTGTGGGATCGTACTATTGGGAGGCGAAGAAAGCACAGCGTTAGCTTGGTATTCCCATGCAGATGTAAGTGAGATCAGTTACTTTGATCGGGTAGTAAAAGGCGGCGCAGGTGCCATGTTGTGGTTCGAGCGCGCCAGGACGAGGGTTCGGAGAGAAGGCTGAAATGTGTTGTAGAAGGTAGCTCCAAGATCGAGACAGTTTTCTCGAGGCACAGAGCCGCCAATTAGACATAATAGTATTTGAGTAACAAGAGTCAAGATGAGGAGGAGGAAGGGGCGTTGGCAGTAGATACAATTGCAAGTGGACAATACGGTGCCAATAAGGGACGTGGTGCGAATGGGAACGGAAACGGAGAACGTGGAGGTTCAGAAGATGTGCAGCAACTGCTCGGTTGCGTCTCAGAGCTTCGATGTGATTTGGCACGCGAGGTAGATGATACTTGGCAAGGCCAATAGAGAAGTGCCAGGATTGTGCACAACGAATGCGGAAATGGAGAAGCAAAGAAATGAGACAAGAGCAGAGATAGGCTACGAATAAGCTTTAGGAAAGCGTTGCATCGCGAACTTACAGTCTCGACGAAGTGTTGCAAGCATAATTGGATGGTCAGTGCTGTTTTTCCCACACCACCGTCTCCTAGTACCACCAGCTTATAGAGCACCATTTTGTTCGCCATTGTGAGATGAGAGAGGTGTCGCCGAACGACAACCGGATCGGATGCGTATGCGAATGCGGGAGTGTTGTCGTCTGAAGGAAGGGGGAGAATCGAGGCCGTGCCGTGCCGTGCTCTGAGTGAATCGAGTGGAAGCTGAAGACAAGGTCGAAATCGAGGCTTTTCGGGGGGTAAGGAGGATGAAGGTCTGGGAAGGAAAAGAGGCGCGAAAGGTGAATGGGGGACAAGCAAAAACAGTAGGAATGTGGGGAGGGGAGAGCGAGAAGAGGGGTGTTTCGACGGAAGAGATTGGTCGAGGCCGCCGTCGGAGATGGAAGAACAATAGATTAGAGATGTTCGCGTAGCTACAGCAGGCTAACAGTGTTGTTGCTGGCACTGGCAGGCAAGGGGGGGCGCGGGATGATCTGGTTTGGGTGATTTGGCGGCTTTGAAGGAGCTTTGTCGTACTAATAGTGTACTTTCCGAGAGGTCTTGGACCTTTTCGTTTTAGGTTTGCTGTGTGGCCCGAGTGTACTTTGAAGAGCAAAGAGGAACTAGAGGGACTAAGTATGCTTTTTTTGCTCTTTTTAGCGGAGGGGTTGAAAGAGGCGAGAAGGCTAGCACGTCGTAGCTCTAGAATTTCCCAGGATGGAGGTCCCAGTAAACGCGGCAAGCGGGATTAGGGCAGCTAAGCAGACGGACTGGGGTGATGCGTTCTTTTGTGTGGTATGGACAGAAGCGTTCGTTTGTGTTGCAGACCACAGTCGACCTCGAAAGCTCGGTCTGGTATGTGGATTTTCTCACGGAGCTGCCGATGGAAGGATTGATATTCAGGATTCCTGAGTCGACGTTGGGTGCTCGACGTTTAGGAGCCGAATAGCGAGGCGAGCGCAAACCGTTGAGGGCGCAGTTTGGCTGCCCAGAAGGTGAATGCCCACGGGGTTCTCGAGGTAACCAGGATTCGAGGATGGAGAGGAGACTGGGAGGACCAGAGATTGAGGAGGAGACGGGGCGGAAGCCGTATGTACACAAGGTTGACGGGTGGCGATGGAAAGCTCTCGACTGCCGTTGTTGCACAAGGCTGTGATATTTGGCAGCCAAACGAACAGAAGGGAAGAGGAGAACGGGCCTGGTGAGAGAGGGAGCAGGAAAGAATATGTAAGAACAACAGGAAAAGGGACTAGGAGTCGTTGGCGGTTGAGTGGGCAGAAAGTAGGTGGAGAGTAAGGAACGGTGATGACGGCTAGCGGACCTGAGCTTTCTTCCTTACTCTGTGGTTCCCGTCCGAGTGAGGAAAGCGCAAGTCAAATACAAACTAAATCACAAAACAAAGGCGCAAAAACAGAGGACTGTCTTGGGGCGAAGGGGACGGAAAATAAAGTGCAAGCGCGACTTTGAGAAGAGAATGGGACGGGAAGGAGCTGGGGTCAACACCACAAGCTCCGGAAAGCACGATCACTCAAATGCGCAAGTCCACCAGTCAAACAGCCAAGAACGGGGGGAGAGTATTACAGAGACTGCGAGGGAAGGTAAGATACGAATGGCCACTATCAAAGCCGATCTCAATGAGACCTGCTGGCCGTCAAGGACACGGCACGAGAGGCGGGCGCAGAAGGCGGTGACTAAGACGCAACACGCATTTTGTATCCTGGATGTATTCCTGGCGCATTCACGGGAAGCAGGAAGGTCGAGGAATCAATGAGAACCAGAAAAGCTTTGAAAAGGGATTGCTGAGGATAACATGATACCGGAAGCAGGGCTTCGTCAGCGCGCGGTCAAGAGCTTCCAGGGCCCGAAGTGGCGTTGGTGGCCCGGTATTACAGGGCACTGGGAATGCAAAGCATGGCGAAAAGGGCGACCGCGGGCAGGGCCAGATCAGGCCCCTGGCCTGAGCCAAGACAGGGCTCTCTACAGGGATCCCGAAAATGATCGCAAGGCCTGTCTGGCGTTGCATGTCAACTCGACCTGTTGTCCTACAAACCATGAAGGCACTTACGACGAATGCCTCTGATGCTGTCCTGTCTCGAAAGAGAGGGGATAGGCGAGGAAGCAGCTGCTACTGCATACTCTTCACCCGGTGCACTTGTGATAGTCGCACTACTTGGGCCGGAGCTTCACCAACCCATACGTGCAAAGTATGACGACGTGAGTACACAGTGGGGCTGTATTGCGAAAAAAAGGGGCGTTTGCTTCAAGGCGAAAAGCGGCCCATGCCAGCCGAAAGAAGGGCCAGTGTTTGGGCCCTGTCGTTTGACCAACATGTGCCTCTAATCCACTTTGTTGGCGGGCAACAGCAAATCCAGCCAAACACTGAGCGACCCAGCATGGACTGCGTAATACTGCGGCAAAGATGGCACAGCCGCCAGCGGAGCGCGCCCCAGCCGGGGTCGTGTGCTAATGTGTGCGAACCTGGACTAACTTGAGCTGAGGTCAACAGCTAGCGAGGAGGCCTAGAAGAGTTTGCCCACATAAAGGTCGACTGCCGGCAAGACTTTCGCCCTCCGGTATTCACACATGAGCCAGGAGTTTTTGGTCTGTTGCTTCCTGCGGAGCGTGACTTGCGTAGTCGCCGACCAGAAGAGGGCTGTTGATTACCATTGGACAAGGCGCAGATGGTACGGGTTACCGGACAAAAGCTGCCACGAGCCTGAACAAACAAGCGACAGCCTTGTGATCATGCTGGCGGTGCAAGTTCTTGACATCAGACGCTTGTAGCATGACATTGTAAGGTGGTGTGTAAATTGAGACAACTGCACACCCGCCGCTTTCCTCGTCCAACGCCATTGATAGTCTATCTCTCCTGCTAGGAAAGAGTCTCCCATGCTGTCAGTGAGACGACGCGGCGGGAATAGGATGGAGAGCAGATTCCACAAGAGCCGCGGATGCCAAGGGAGGCAAGGAAAGAGCAACACGAGCGAGATACACGAAAAGGGAGCAGAGATGGATAGGATGGGCAACAAGAGGCGACGAGCGCCGCGCATAATACATCGGCTCTCTGATTCCACCGGCTTCTGATGCCCATGGATTGAGATTGGCAAGGGGATGCTGGGGGGACACGCTGGAGACGATGGCAAGTTGGTGGCTAAAAGCAAATCCGCTGAACATCCAAGAACAGCTTGCGACTGGGTCCAAGGGGCAGCTTTCGTGTGTCATATTTTCTTTTTTCTTTTCCTTGTTCTTTCGCTCTGCCGTGTCCTCGTAGGTTCGTTGCTGCTGTGTGTGATATCTCCTCCTCCTCCCATTCACAATTATCACTCTTGCTTGCGGTACGGGAGACACAGCGGTGCGCGGTCGGATCAAGCCGCCAATGCATGAGACGTTTGTGCAAGATGTTCCCAGCCGGCGCCAAAGCATCATCTGCACTTTCGTCGATTTGCTCGTGCGTCGTTCTGCCGCTCAGCACACCAACCCCGTTCTCGATCGGCAGTCCAAGAGGTCCATGAGGTCCACTTTGCAGGCCGTCGTCTGCATTGGCCTTTCTTGATTCTTTTCCCACGCCTGCTGCCTTTTGTTTGGGTTTTTGAAACGAGGTGCCAACTCACAAGTTCCATACACTGGATAGCCCATAATTGAGAGCTTTGTGGGACACGCGAACAAAGCAGCCACGGCAGAGGACCGAGAGTGCCGCCCCTTGATATCGAAAATGCCTGGTGTGCCTGGCAAGGACAGGTACCCTCTGTTCGAACGGCAAGCCAGCTGACCAGGAAAGACGGAAAGTAAAACGACGTTCCAAGAGGAGACAACAACGTCCAACAAACAACAAGCAGCCTTTCTCCCCAGTATGCCCTTGCATCGTGCAGTTCCCCTTTTGGGACTGTACGTCAACGCCAACTGAGCAAAACGCAGCTCCCCCCTTTTGGCACGCATATCATGCCAAAAAGGTGCTTTCGGCTGAGTGGACAGCTCTTCTCGCATCCTCAGATGCCTCAGGTAAAATCCTTTTGCAGGTGGCAACGAGACACCGACGAGGTGCATTGCGCACGACGCCAAACAAGCAAGCTTGGACGCTACAACCGACAAGGCGGGGTGTGGTTTGGGATTGGTCTGTGCACAAGCTCACAAGCTCACAAGCTCTGCAATTTGTGGGCTTGCACAGTGGTGCAAGGGTGGTGCGGTTGGCTTCCTGGCAGCCAATGTGGTGTAAGCATTTTTGTGGCTTTTTGCTTCCACTTTGCGAGCCTTCGAAATGTTTTCGAACCACCACAAATCCAAGCCGCCGTTCATCTCGAGGACGTCGTCCCCAATTTGTCATTCCTCAGCTGCCACTGTCCCTTTGGATCTTGTCTCATGATTTACATCTGACGTGTGTTTGACGATCACCTGCTTTGACAGACGTAAGCCATCAGATCACAACGACACCTTTTGCACCAGACGCCAGAACGATGCGATCGGCTGAGAGTCTGTCCAAAGAGAGGTCAAAGCTGCTGAACTCTGCAGAGTACAGCAGAGAGGTGTCCTGCAAACTAAGCCGGCTAACAGAAAACCGGACTCCTTACCTAGGCGGTAAAAGTTGACGACCTTTCGGCTCTCCAACTGCGACGTATTATTTATATTTATATTTTGCTCTTTGACCCGTTTAGCTTTGCCTGGCCTTTGTTGCATAGTGTCTGTATGGAACATAGGCCCGTCGAGACACGATTAGCCAAGGAACGTGCAGGAACAAAAAAGAATGAAGACACCAGACGACAGGTACGCGAAATGCATGCATCACATAATGTGCACAGTGTAGCAGAGAATGAGACTATTGTTCCCTTTCTGCTCAGGTACTTTCATCGGCGAATGAGAGCATGCAATTTCCGTGTACGTCCATAACGTACCGCCATTGGAAAATGCAAACAGAAGCCTTTTCTAAACGACACAAAAAAGCAAGTCTGTTTCTTCGTCTTGCGGACGTAGTGACTTGGCCATGCGAAGCAGATGTTGAAACAGTGCATGATACAGTGCATGACACAGTATCAAGAAAAACAAAACTCAGGGCCCGCTAATTTTGCCAAAAAGGCAGAGACAGACGGCACTTTCCTTGCCCGGGGCGGTGATGGTGGGCAGGACCGCTTGCCGTCGCCCTGTTCAGGTCCTCATTTTCTCCATTTTGCCCATTTAGTGTTTCGTCCAGCAAACCTGCAAGGAGGTATTTGTGGCTCAGCCAAGGGAGCCACAGTCACATTCACAGGCCACCATGCATTCCACCTCCTTTGCTAAATCTGCACTCCAAACGAACTGCAGCTTCGCCGGTCACCTTCTTGTCGTTCCTACCCTCCCGTGTTTCTCTGTCCTTTGCCGGAGTCTTATGTGATTCAAACTCATTCCGTATTGCTCCGTACATCTACCATGAGCGGATTAGCACCGTACAGATAGAGCAATTTTCTTTCTTCGCCCAAAATGGCTACTGTCTCACAAACGTTGCAATTGCATGGCTTATCACCAGCCCTTCTCTCTACCTATCCACTATCCTCCATTCTTTTTTCTCGTTTACCCCTTTACTCAAACGCGCCGCCCACAAAAGACCCAAAACGGAGAGTTTCCGACTGGTTGCACCTCTCAAATCCAACTGACAGTGGGTATATGAAAGGTTGCAAAGTGACAAAATCAACAATTCTACAAAGTAAGATACTCCGTGCTCTTTCTACTCACAAACATCCACGCATATTTGCTGTCCCCAGCCACCTTCTCGTCCCAGAAAATTTTGAAAAGAAAAGAAAAGTTACCCTCCCCTTTCTGGAGCCAAATTTCCCAAACAGCTGCCTCACTCGGCATACCCTGCCATCCCATGGAGAACTTTTAATTCCCTATCACGGCCAGGTGGTAGTCTCCTTTCTGTATTGGTCGTTGTTGCCAAATGGCGGCAGGCACGCCGGCACTCACCACGTCAGGCATTGCAGCCCATACCCGGTGAGGAGAGCTCCGCCGGCATGCCCAAAGAGCCTGCATACCGTTCTCACCGTCCATGGTCTTTCCATCAAGGCTCAACCTTTGTAGTATTACACCTTACCTCGGCCAAGGCCAGCCGCCTGTTGTGACTGGCCCTCATATTTACTTCCAATATGCGAAGGGTTCAAGAGACATGCGCCGTCCTGTGGGATTTTCTATATTTTCTTTTATACGAAAAAAGTGTCTTTTGGCCTTTGGAGAGCCTCGTTGGCTGACGCTCTTGCTGACATGGATGATAACATCAGAGTCCTGAACGTGTTTCTAGCATCTCATTGGTTGAACGCTGTGGAAGCTGGAATGAAAGAAATCTGGGCAACAGATTTTAAAATGAGACTTTGCAATGTCTTTTTCAAAATCACACAAGCTGCTCACGCCTCAACCCAACGGTTGCTTTCCGTAATAACAAAATCAATCCAACATCGTAATTGGCCGGGAGCGAACGCGATCCTCCTTCCTTGCGTGACGGGCATTGCTTTTGGAACAGCTGTTGGAACACCGAGGACACAGACGGCAACAGACACAACTAGAGATTGGAAAGCGGTCGAACAGCACAGCAGAGGCCCCACGGAAGAAAATAAGAGATCGCTATCAGCAGGAGGTGAAGGCTAGGCTAGCCAGGCTAGCAGGCAAAGAGATGTAGATGCCGGCCCGTGGACAAAGAAAGCCATGGGCAGATGCGCGCCCATCCTACGCCTTTCTCATACGCTCGACGCCATCCGTTTTCGGTCCTTCGTTATGCCGGAGGCAGGCATTTTCCATTTATCATGCGTACTGATCGACGCACCTATCTGAGCAGGACATGTGTTTTCTGCTCCGTTCTTCGGTCGTCTCTCGTTTGCGTCACGCCCGCTGGAAAGACGTTATCCGACTGTGATGGGAGAAAAGGCAGGAGAACAAAGAAGTAAAAACAAACTCAGAGTCGTAGTCCCGAACACGATCCGCAACCGTTGGATGCAAGCACAGGAAATCCACTCTGAGTGAAAATCGTGGGGGTAGCCAACAAAAAAAAAAAAAAAAAAAGAAGCATATCAGGTCGGAGTGAAGTTGGGGGTCCATTCTAACATCTCACAAATGTGGACATGTGCGTCGCCGGTTCTTCGTTACGCTCTAGAAAGACTCCAAGAAACGAGGGGACAAAAAGTGTTACGTTGTATTATGTCGAGCGCAAAAGGAGGGTCGCATTTTGTTCGTTTCTTTTCCTTTGTTCCTCTACTCGCGTGTACCCTGGGTAGTACTGCCCGCGTATCACAGTGAAGCCACGGCGGGAGTGTCGATGCGGAGAGTGCTACAAGAAACATGGCGGTGAACAAAGACGCAACGATTTTCCATGTATGGCCCCTTGAGAGTTCTCTCCCGGTGACCAAACGTTCGTATGATGGTCAAGTCCACCACCCCACGCTCACCGCTTCCTCCCTTTGGGCTTGACAGGGCATGCGGTCGGCCGACTCCGATGCTGTTTTGGGCATATCACGCTGCCAGAAAGGTGTAAGGGTGCAGCTCGATACCAACTGGAGGAGGGGGGAAGCAAAATCGATAGGTTTTTCAGATGGGGATGTGCTGCCCCCACGCATGGGAACGCTCCTTAAACTTTAAAAAATCACCTGCTTTGTTGGTTAACCATGGGTGGTGGTTGTTCCTGACCTATGTGTCTCGAAACCGTGTTCTTAACTACTTTTTCTAACCAGCTAGACTTCCGTTGTTCCGTCGGTGCCGGCCTGGGAAGGGACGAGCCGTCGGTGAGGAACTACGGGGCAGCAAGAGAGGGAAGGGGTAAGATCTAGCCGGTGCGGCATACGAATAAACTCGTTACACAAACGCACGTGGGCGTCTTCATGGAATGGCGGCGATGCAGCAACATCCACAAAGACTGTCCTTCCTTTTCTACTTTCTTGACCGAAGCGTCAGTCTTTGCATGAACGGATGCGAGGCTGAGCATATCCATGTACCTGTCGCGGCGAGGCCGCTGCAATTGGATCGCATCACCCACTGCTATATGCAACGAACATGTGCATAGATACGAATTACAACGTTAGGACATTCACACCCGGCAAACCATCAAAAGAAACAGGAATTGCAGAAATTGTGTCATTTCGATTTCCACAAACAAAATCTCATATCCACGCTCTAAAATGTCGACGTGAGCAGACTGCAGAGGATGGACTTCGGTTCGTCGATGACCTCGTGACAGCTTCTCGTCATCGACATGTGTGATATATATCTCTTTACCTGTTGGGAAAGGTGTTGAAGAAAGTAAGATGGGGGGTGAAAAAAAGGAAGAAACCCGATTTTGTATCACTACTTGGGATACAAGGGGGTGACGAAGAAAGGAAGATAGACATAAAAACAGCAATGAAACAGAAAAAGAAACTGGCCATCCCATATAAAAAAGTAGTTGCACCATATATCCGTAAATCCCAGAACCAAAAAAAGAACAAAACGCGAGCACATGTTTACCTCACGGGGTATCTCTATCACCTCCCGACCTCTTTATGATTCTTTGTACATAAGATCGGGGCCGACGCTAAACGTTGACGCCTGTAACCTCTGTCACGTAGACGTAAAGGCTTTTAGACGTCATGCGTCGCGTTCTCGTCACCAAAGGGACTCCGTCCACGCTCCACAGATGTGGCGGTGGTGAC